GTCCGCGGTTTGTTCTACTTGCCCTCCTGCGATCTGAAAGTCGCCTTTGGCGACAGACCTAGGCATTACTTCCTAAACATGGTGATTTTGATTTTTTTTGCGCACTGCTAATCTCCCAACTTTTGCTCCCTCATTTCCCTGGTTCATTTTTGCATTTGAGCGCTATGTCAGTCATGCTCGAAGCATTTGAATAAGTCTCAAGCGCAAAGAAAAGTTTCGACTCTACAAAATACGTTGCAGTCTCAGACCCTTTGCATCTATGCAGAGAGTTGACCAGAACTTTCGCAGGACTTTGTCTACTGCTACAAAAGGACGCACGTTGAAAATGGGAACTTTTGCAGGATTTTCACGTCAGACTGGTTGGAAACGGGAGCTTCAGCAGAAACTTGTTATAGAATGCTGCGGAAATTCCGAAGAATGGCAGTGGTTCCAGAATATTAAATGTGTTGCCTCTTACGATGTTGCCTCGGCAACGAAACATTGCGCATTCGTTGAAACTTTCGGTCTTTTTCGGAAACTTCCGCAGTATGTTTACGGGACTTCCGCAATGACCCGGCGGAACTTCTATAAACATTCTGCGGAAGTTCCAGTCAGTTGTCTGAGTATGCACAATGACCGGAACGCGGTCATAAGTTATTATGTTTCCGAAAATCTTCTACACTCATAGATTAAACGTAGGAGTAAAATGGAGCTACATTATGAGTTGCGATTGCGAGCACCAAGTCTGACTTGGAGAAGTAGAAAAGAGATTTGTACGTTCAAAAATCACAATCTTTCAATGAGAGTGTTCTAACTTATCCCGCCGCATAAGGTTAGGAAGGAGTTGTCAGTTGTGGGGGTATAGCTCAGGGGTAGAGCGCTCGCTTTGCATGCGAGAAGTCTGGGGTTCGATTCCCCATACCTCCAACAGACTTTTGCGCCTCAAAGTTTGCAAAGTTAAAATAGCGATATTCAAATACATCCAGAACTTTTGCTCAAAGCACTGAAAAGGCTAAGAGCAACGGTTTCTGTCACATATGATGGAATTCCTCAAATATTCTATAGAAAGTGTGCCCGTTCTCTTTGCTCTCTTTTGACAATTATTTTCAATGCATCCCTATCAATGGGGCAGGTTCCTAAGCTATGGAAAAATGCGTTAATAACTGCAATTTTAAAAAAATCCCACATGTAATTCTTTATCCAACTTTCGTCCCATAAGCATCACTCCGCCTTGTGGTAGAATTCTTGAAAAATTTGTTAAGGATAAGCTAGGAGATTGGGCACACAAAAATCATGTGATACCTTTAGAACAGTATGGATTTCTACCTGGAGGATCGACCACTGCCCTACTTTCTGACTCACTTTTCGATTGGATTACTGCAATTAATCAAGACAAATCAATTGATATCATTTATTTTGATTTATCTAAAGCCTTTGATAGAGTCAACCACTGCAAACTCTTATTCAAACATGAAAAAATCTGAGTACAGACTACTGGCATGGATTGACTCGTATCTCAATGAACGCAGAATGACTGTACGAGTCGGAAATGACTATTCGGACAGTATGTTTGTGGTAGTGGTGTTCCTCAGGGTGGGATTCTTTCACGCTTCTTTTTCTAATCTACACCGCTGATCTACCTGCCTTCGTTAAAACACATCCAAATATCCGCATAGAAACTTTTGCAGATGACTTGAAAATTTACATCGCATATGCCAAGAATGAATAAACTAGCGCCCGTGAAGCCCTCTCTTCGTCTATCGAAAAGATGGTATCATGGTCAAGATTTGCCTCTAAATCTTTCAAAATGTTCTGTGAAGCGCTTGCTCGATGCTCCTTATAGGCTATGTTACTGTGGGGAAGCTGTTCTTGAGCGTCGTGAAGTAGTGAGAGATTTAGGGGTGATGATTGATGGTTCACTCAAGTTTTACAGCCATTACGAATCAGTCATCAGTAAATCATTGGCAACGTTGTTCATGCTCCTCAGAAACGTGCACAGCAATGATCCTGCTTTATTTGTGTGATTGTATAGAACCTATGTTTTACCTCATCTTGATTACGCTTCACCCGTTTGGAATCCGTTCCTTAAAGAGAATGCGATTAAACTTGAGATAGTACAAAAAGTATTTACTCGAATAGTTCTCTACAGATGTTTTCCCAGTAACGATTACCTACGATGTTTACCGTCATACAGTGAAAGACTGGCCACTTTGAAACTACGTAGTCTAAAATATAGGCGCGTTGTAAATGATTTAGTCTTTTGTTTCCGAATCTTGCATCTGGAAACTAGATTAAAAGCGAGTAAGTACTGGGTTTTCAGACGTGTGGCGAACGTACAGCTGGGTTTAATCTACATCATCGTAAACTAGGTAAAAAAATGTTCTTGGCAACTTTCAATTCATTTTTTTGTCGCACTTCAAGATGGCTGAGTCTCTTACCAAAAGAAATTGTTTGTAGTAAGATTACTATTGTTTTTCATAAAAAATTAGCTTCCATAGATGTGTTAAGAACTTTACATATCCCTGATGCTTAGGAGTTCATGCTTGGTCTATCTAGCCTTTCAACTGCACATCTATCACTCCCCACTTCTTGCCAGATCGAGTATAGATTGATCATTTTCTGCCTTTTGTGTGTTACTAACCATGATTATGCCTTCACTAACTGTAACCAACCTGTCATGCCAACAGGGTGTTCTTTTTACAGTTACTTTTTACAGTTGCTTGTCACATTGAGTTCTAGCCCCAGACCTTAGACCGTTTTTCCTTGGAAGTAGTTCATCTATAGTTGACACAATCTTGCTTCCTCTAAAATTAAGCTTTATCGGGGACCAGCCAGCTAGCTTACCGGGGGCTCGCTGGCACCCAAAACCGGGGCATCAGAAAAATTTTAGAGTGAGTAAGATCCAGATTCTTTCTTTTAGATTAATTCCTACAATTTCGCTTTCTGCGAATTACGTGTGCACGTCTTAGGGTCTAGGGCTCTTCAGCTTGTCTGTAATTATACTCCTATCTTATGTAGCTAGCTTGAGTGTTGGTTGATTTTTCAAGTTTGTTCTGAATTCTTTGTTCTGTTTTTTTGTAGTTAAGTGCACCATGAGTGTATTGAAAATGAAAATGAAAATGAAAATTAATAATTTGTGAATTTTAAATAGGAGTTTGTTATTGGTAAATTTGAGTTGTTTTGTTGTAAGTATAGGTACTTCTTATTTTTTTGTCGAAGAAAAAGTCGTTTTTGTTAAGTGCAGGTCCTAACAGTCTTAGTTCTTAGCAGCACTTTGTGAAACTTATTCTTTGAATAAACCCTAGTTGTGACAGTAAAACAGTAATAATCTCCATTTTTGAAAATGGAAATTAACGCAACGGTATTTCACACTAGTTCCCGAGCGAGGGAAGGGGAGGGAAGGCAAAAAGATATTGAAGTGGGTCATGAAACTTTTGAAACAGCCTACATGGATTACGAGATTCCGCAAGTGCCCTTATAACACTTTAATTATTCAAAACATTTTTGAGATCCAGAATGTTCAAAATGACTTCCAATCATTATTTTTAAGATTAGAACCTATATGTTGTTCCACGGTTTTCCATGATTATAGTCCATAATTACTTGCAAAACATTCCAAAAAAATTTTTCGGGAGATGTGCACTCTCCTTCATGGGAGAATTTCTGTCGCCCTCTCTTTTCCAAAAAATTCTCAGACAGCCTTTTTGCCTACACCGCACTCTAAGAGAAGTACTAATCTAATCACTAACTCTCGATTGTTTATTGGAATATACCTGTTTGAAGACATGGGAAACGCATCAAAAAATTCACTTTTTGAAAGTGACTTTTGCACATTTGGTCCCAAAAATAATGAGACTCCCACTATTCTGTTCATTAGAAACTCTACCTCAGGCTGAATCTATGCCGAAAGTCAAACGTTCCTATTTTCCGAAACAACGTAATTTGCAAAGCTCTAGCCCATCAGCAGCGTAACCTGGGTAACATTTCAAATGTGAAGCTCTTACCTTCCATTTCTCCTTTTCAACTGCTCTCCCTGGACAACCGAAATGTTCGTGGCAGAAGGAGCTCGCCCAGTTGTCATGGAAGCTCGTCCGAACTCCTTTTAGTTTGTTCAATGTCTCCCACACACCTTCCGTCAATTTGCTCTATTTTATTAAATCGTTACATTATCATCAATCATTGCGAAGTACAGTATCGTCGTGAAGTTTAAGATTTACATAAGTAAGGAACCACAATTGTTACGGAATAAATCAATGCTATTTCAAAAACACAGGGCCAATGTCCGACTTTCAGAATAATTCATCATTCCTGGGTCTTTCGGGCTTGGTAAGCTGATATCTAACAATGCTCCAGGTTTTACTTGGATATAGACTTTGCTTCTAGACCTTGTAAAATCTGTTCGTATGAGAATGCGGACCCGCACCAGATGGGCACTTGGTTTGGTGTGGGTTAGGGAACGAACTCCGCCAGTTGAGCCCGCCTTTGCTAGCTATTGGTCCGTTTCCAATATTGTTGCATGTCGTAGCAGGACCAGTGGTACGCGGAGGCGATTGTAATTGGCGGACTTCGTTCCTCTATCCGTTCAGAATCTGAGGTCAGATGAGTGGTGACATGGTGACTAAATCATAACCTCGACTTTGAGACGCAACTAACCTCCTCAGTATTTCAAGTACGGGCGAAATCTGAACGGTGACAGCGGGAGCAAACATTTAGCAAATTTCAAAGAAGTTCTTTGCCCTACCTGTTTTTGTAAGTGGTCCTATTTGCTCTCCAGTATTATGTCAGCCACTATTGAGCCTCACATATGATACCACCTCTGCCAGCTCACTTTCGTTCTGGGACCAGTGCAGTCAGTGCTCATCTTTTTCAGAATGTACATCGACTTTGCGAGAACTTTTTGTTACGCGGTTGTATTTTACTTCGTGGTGACGAAAGCAGTTACAGATCGTGCCAGCCAGCTTTGTGTGACATCCATGAAGAGAGCAGTTCCGAGTTGTGGAAGTGAGACAGAGGCGAAAAGAAAGAAGGATGATGGAACAGCCATGTGAGCTTAGGCTCTTTTATTCCTACTCCTGCTTAGACTTTTGCCCATTTCCAGAGAAGCTTACAACGATGCTCAAAAGGACACTGATGCCAAGTTCGAAACTGCGTGAGTATATTTACTTTTTACATCGAACAACATGTCACGTATCCAAATACTCGCAAGTGAAGGTCACCTAGTTCAAGTGGCACTTTAAAAGTTGATGGAAACCAAAGAACAGAGCTCGAAACACTGATCTCAAATATACTCTCTGCATCTGCGAAGCATTTCTTCGAAGGAAGTTATGAGCTTTTTTGTATTTAAAACAGAAGTGTGACCCAGGTGGAAAATGATGGCTTGTGGACAATAATAACATGATTGGAATACATTCGAAAACGTCGAGTTGATATCAGATAAGACGCACAGTGCATACTAGGTATCTATCTTGCTTGAGCTTTCACAGTTCTTCATGGAAGTTACCGTAGTTTTGAACTCGGAATGCACGCAGATTTGACATAAAAAAGTTCATAACATTCTCGAAGAGGGTTCGCAGATATAAATAACTACATAGTATATCCAAGACCAGCGTTATAGGCTCCGTCCGTTCAATATATGTACATCACCTTCCTAACCCCCGATTCTGCCAAGTGTCCTTCCCTTCACAATGACTTTAGCCAGTATAGGTCGATAATCGATCCATTCTTCAAATTCCCTAGTGCCCTAGTTCCCTAGTCCTGGGGTGCAAGCCCTAGCATTATGTTTATGCATAGCTATGGGAGAGAGGCTTGTGAATATATTTGTAAGAGCCATCTATCTCGTACCACTCTTTTGGGTTTGTGAGGAGGATAGCTTAAAGGCAGTGGCTTGGCAAAATCGAACCTCGAAATTTTTATATGGAAGGTTGCTTGCACCCCAACCACGACAATGGAGCAGGTCCGAGCGCACAACATGCAACCTCCGCCTAGAAAATTGCCTCTAAACCCGTGCGCGCAAGCAATTCTTACACGGACGAGCCTGCGATTCCTCTCCCACCGTCAGAGGCGACATGCCGCAATGCCAAAAACATGAGAGTCTTACAACGACTCTGCGTCTCTAACTATGACGGGGAGAGTTCCACTCGTCCAAATTCAAATTGAGAAGACTTGAAAAATGCTGGTTTTCGCCATTTTCGCGTCTAAAAAGTGGTTTTCCGGAATCAGCGCGTCGAATTACCCCGGGTAAGCGAAAAAACCAAAAATCGAGGATTTGCCGAGCCACTGCCTTTAAAGGCAGTGTCCGGGCAAAATCTCGAATGGAGTTTTTTTCGCTTACCTGGGCTTATTCCTCCCGCTGATTCTGAAAATGCAGCTTGGAGGGCACGAAAATGCCGAAAACGAACTTTTTGAGAAGCTCTGATTTAAATTTTGTCACCTGCCGCCAAGATTAAGATGCAGAGTCCTTGTGGGACCCTACGTCTTCACTGTGTGCGGTATGCGCACTCTGACTTATCGAACTACTCGTCCCGGTCGCCACTTCTGAAGCGATTTCTCGCTTCAGTAGCAAATTAGTGCATTGTCAGTTGGGCAAGAGCCTAACCAGGACAGGCGCCCCTGTACTCTACATTTTCGTATCTGCCCGGACGCTGCCTTCAACAACCTCTTACTGATACAGCCCACGGAACTCTAGATATCCAGATTCTTCTATCTCTTATGCTCCGAATTTCCCCGCTACCAGTAGGCCGTTAGAAGTTGTCTGGTCTAGCGCGCTGGTCAAATCTTCTACTTATCTGCCAAGTGAAGACTCTAAAGAGGGCCTGCCAAAATGAATTATAGCATACTTTTGATTGCTTTTCTCTCAATATTACCCATCCTGGGTTCACAGAACCGATGCTAAGCAGGAAATGGTCAGAAAACCCAGCCATACCAAACATGCTATACATCATCGGACTGGTCTTCAAACGCTGATCACAAGTATGTATATATGTTTTTTTATCTGCCAAGGGGCTATCTGGGAGGAGTCATGAGCGTTTAGATGTGCGATTTGTTGAATGTTCTATGGCGCATGTATACCACGAAATAGGTTCCAAAAATACTTGTTTAGGTTTCTGGTGAATGTGTTTCTTCCTTGTAATTAAAATAACCGTAGCCACTGCAAATCCGCGCCATCGGTCCGCCTTTCAAGAAAATGTAATGGTCGAAACTCGAGAAACTTCTCATATTTGGACGCGCACAACTCTTTCCAGAAGTCACTTGGCAGATAAAAAACATATATTTGAAATCAGCGTTTTAAGACAAGTCCCCGATGACGTTCAGCTTCTTTGGAATGACTTGGTTGGTTAAGTTCTGACCACTTCCTTGTAAGCTTTGTTAATAGAGTATGAGAGTAGTTTTTGTTTTCATATGGCGGTCGAAAGTTGGGACTGCCGTTCTCTGCTTGTACACCCCCTCCCCTCCCTGCAGTGGCTATTCCATGCATAGAGTGGACAAGTTGCGTTCAATCAAGATAGTTCGTGTTCGGGAGAGACAGCAGAAGCCTAGAGGAATGAAAGTGAGTATGATCTGAGAGACGCCGACAGTTTCCGCAGTAGCCCTGTCTCGCGTGCGCTAAAGCATCTATGTATCGTTAGTTCCCCAGCAAGATTGCCATAGGATTGCCATACCACGTCATCTCGCTGCCTTTCGCACTTTTGAACGTGTTAACCTCGGGCAATTCCGTTGAAATCTCAGGAGAAACGTGTCAAAAAGAGTGAAAGGCAGCGTCGCACCACGTACGCACGCTGGTTCACTTGGGAACCTCTCTGGGGCGCAGACGGTGTAGTACCTACTATGTTTGATTGATTCGCCATCATCAACAGAACTCGGGGTTTCAACTTACAGGAATTGCTGAACTTTTTTTTTCAAGGCTCCAAACATCGTCAAGACCTCATCCTCAGTATGAGAAGGAGCAGCGGAGAGAGCGAGGAGAAATGCTTCTTCGTTTATACCGAGAAAATCCATTACTTATCGTATGTTCTCTATACTAAATAGCTGCAACAACCATAATCCTTGCACAATTTTTCGAAATTAACTTTTGGTTTAGGATACAGCAAATGCGAGGACCATGCAGAAAAATAAAGAGCGAGCACAGCTTTGGGAGAAGATCACGCAACAGGTTTAGATTGTTTGTTTGCTTCTGCAAAAACCTCCTTCACATGGTTTTTCTTTTCAGATAAATGAAGCCTTCGAAGGCAAACTAGAAGTTTTGTCTGTGGAGAAAACAAAGAAACTTCTGACTTACTATAAAAAGAGGGATGATGGAAGTTATGAAAAACTGTATGTTCTTTCAATGGTTGAATACGGTGATCAATAATCTGTTGCTAATGTGGTTCTTACGTAGGGCTTCACATGACAGCTCATTTAGTGGTTATCCAAATGCTGTATCACAGTCACCGTCAAGCTCCGAGTCTGTCAGTAGTGAGCATGGAGGATTTGAAGAGGACGACCGCACAGTCTCACTCAATGAAAGGAATGAAATCGACCAACATTCTCGAGAGTACACTGAGTAAGAAAAGTTGGCACTTCACGGTTTTATTTCTGCACTCCTTAGGCTTTGGCCATACTTTGCCCGTGTTGCCGGTGTTGAAAGTGTTGCCGGTGTTGAAAGTGTTGCCAGTGTTGAAAGTGTTGCCGGTGTTGAAAGTGTTGAACGGAGATCATCAGTCTAGCAGTTTCATTCTTTCTCGAACGATCTCACCGGCTGGTGAATACGTTAGAAATGGAATTGGGGAATGAGAAATGAAACTGAAATGAGATGGGGAATGTTTTCGCATACAAAAGATCCTCAAACAAACTTTTTGGAAAGTGAAGGACTTGTTTGAAAGAGGCAATCTCAAATATTTGAGAAAACTGACGTCTGAGTAGTAATGTGTTTTAGTTCGAATCCGGCATCGCTTGCGAATAGTGAGCAAAGGACCCAATGGGAGGTGTTGCAGCCTTCCCAAATGTTGGAGATTGCCTCTTTCAAACAAGTCCTTCACTTTCCAAAAAGTTTGTTTGAGGATCTTTTGTATGCGAAAACATTCCCCATCTCATTTCAGTTTAATTTCTCATTCACCAATTCCATTTCCAACGTTTTCACCAGCCGGTGAGATCGTTTGAGAAAGAATGAAACTGCTAGACTGATGATCTCCGTTCAACACTTTCAACACCGGCAACACTTTCAACACTTTCAACACTGGCAACACTTTCAACACTTTCAACAACGGCAACACGGGCGAAGTATGGCCAAAGCCTTAGGCCCCGGACAGACTTCACGCAATTTGATCGTCGCGACTGAATCGCGACGAGACAACTGTTACAACATCATTCCATGCCAATCAACTTGCATTTCTGTTGTGATACTTTTCCAGCCCGAAATTTTTGAATGTGAAATGAAAATGAATGGAAATGTCGGCGATTGAGTCGCGACGATCAAATCGTGTGAAGTCTGTCCGAGGCCTTAGGCCTTGGACAGAGTTCACGCGATTTGATCGTCGCGATTCAATCGCTAGTAGACAAGCGTTACGAGTTCACTGAATGCCAATCTTCTTGTATTTCGGTTGTGATAGTTAGTCACGATTAGTCGTGCTGGAAAACTATCACAACCGAATTACAAGAAGATCGGCATGCAGTGAACTCGTAACACTTGTCTTGTAGATTGAATCGCGACGACTGAATCGCGTGACTCTGTCCGAGGCCTTAGGGTTCGTTTATGCATTTGTTACCAGTGCTGCCACTGCCTTGTTACCAGAGCTACCAGTCTACTATTATCACTGTCACTACTGTTACCGGTTCGCTGCATCACTCTTATATAGCTTTGTTGCTGGTGTACTGCCTAAATGAAAGGTTTTGCTGCCTCGGTTTCCCATTCGCGATCGCGTCGGCTGCTCGCTACGTTTTCTTATTTCAAGAGGTTATAAAATGGCAAAACGCAGCCACCAACCGGCGGCAAGCGAACGGAAGTCTAAAGGCAGTGGCTCGGGAAATTTGCGACTGCTGACTTTCCACGACTACATGGCCTTCTGGACCAGCTGAGTCCGGTACTGCGCTTAAAAAGTCAAAAAAGTCCCTTTTTGGCGTTGCTGGGCCTTGGAGATGCTGAGGAGGCGGGGCGAGGGGGCTGATCAGCCAATTGCCGCCAAAATAGGTGGAGTTACGGTCTCCTGCAACCGGTTGCTCATTTTGGGGTGAATCCCTCGCCCCGCCTCCTCAGCTATCTCCAAGGCCCAGAAACGCTAAAAAAGCACTTTTTTGGCTTTTCAAGCGCAGTACCGGACTCAGCTGGTCCAGAAGGCCATGTAGTCGTAGAAAGCCCGCAGTCGCAATTTTCCCGAGCTACCGCCAGGCCTTTTCATTTGAAGCAAAACACCTGTCACAGCGGTAGGAACGGTTGCAGTGAATAACGATAACATTAATTATACCGATAACAACGACACATGGTGGAACCCTGAGTTTACAGGTCATTAGCTTCTCCAACAAGCTATACTTCCGTCGTGAAATCCGAGTCTCCACCAACTCCAGAGTTACCTGAAACTTTTCCTGGCTTGAAGAAAGAACGCCATGACTTTGTAGTAGCTATCGCAGATCACTATTTGGATAGGATGTGCTTTGACAATTCTTCAAGGTGAGCATTCAATATTATACTGCTGCATTTGAGACCTTGAACTAAGATTCATGTCCTTTTAGTATCTTTTCGCCTTCTACTAGGACTCTAATATGTATCGGGGATTCGAAAAACCTAACCAGTGTGCAAGCACGTTTCCTATCAACTTATATTCACAGCCTATATCTTTAAGGCACGCGCCATACTTGATCCGCTTAATTCACTTGATCTGCCTGATCCGCTTCGCCATTGGTCGATTCAGTGAACTGGCCAATAGCGGAGCGGTTGTACTCTTGATCCGCTTGATCCACTTCATCCATTCGCTACTGGTCAGTTCACCTGGACTGACCAATGACGAAGCGGATCAAGCGGATCTGGATTGAGCGGATCAAGTATGGCGCGTGCCTAACCTAGACTCTGTCCCAGGAGAAGGTCGAGGTCGAATCAAACGCTCTCGCAGCGCATGCGCGCTGTTGGAGAGAGTGAATAGGTTGAAAAGAGAGCAAATATTCTAGCCGCAGACGTGGCGCAAACCCCTCGCGACTCGTCCTCCTGCCATGCCAGTTTCAGTCTGAGGAGAGCAGACTGTATATGGGTCTATCCAATTGTCAGGCATGTGAGGTATTATTTTGCAAATCTTGTAGTCTGTTGCATATGCACCTAATGACTGCGACTGGAACCACCGCCATATCCGCAGTAGTTGTTCCTTGAAGAGGAGTACATCTGATTGATGTTTTCAAGACAAAGATGAAATTTCCTATCCTTCTTGTTGACTGTTGTTTGTTCTAACTATCTTGAGTGCTTATAGCCTACAGATCGCTTAGAGAACCGTCCCACCCGGTTTGGAAATGGGGAGTTCTTAGTGTGCTACAGTTATGGACCACGCTACTTGCCACACTAACAATAAGACCTCACCGCCTCTAATTTAGGTTGGGGGTGCCTTCAACACCAGCAGACTCAGTTTCATCGCATTTTGGAGACTGTGGGAATTGATTGCAAGGTTTTTGGTTTCGAAAAATAAACTAGATGTGCTATTTTCTTGTAAGATAGAAAGCGCTGCATTTCTCCTTTCCAGAATGCGTTTAATCACTACATTGCAGATCTACGCAGATAAACGCAGAAAGGCACAATATGTGGGTCAAAATTACGCATATCACCAATCAGAAATATGGGGGTATTTTGAGCCCACTCGGAGTCGAACAAACAAAGAAGTTGTTTTCAAACTGCAAGCGTCGCCGCAGAATGCGCTCGGAATCGTTAGTTCATTAATGCCCCACCCGAGATCTCCTCGAGAATTTGTCGTTTAGGTCAAGCGAGGATTGGTCATTTGAAAACTCAGTGTCGTTTCAACCAACTAGTTCTGCTCATGCTACAAGCTCTTCCGAGGCAGTGCCATCTTCTGACAGCTCCTACGAAGGTTCGCTTTTTCTTTTCTTTTCATGTAATGCTTTCTTTTGTATCACTACATCATTTCCCACGTCATTCAGAAAATTTTGGGCCCGTTCTCCAGCAGCTAATGAATGGATTTGACCTTAGAGCTGAAATCGTAGATCTGCGTCGCCAACTTGCTGATTGCGAAGCTGAGGTGACACGTCTGCAACAAGTGATTGTCAAGGTATGATTCAAATATTCAATTTCTTCTTGTTCTTTGTTTAAGGAATGATTTAGCAAGCAGAAGATTACAAAGCGCGTATCAGTGCAGTGGCTGAAATTTTGAAGTTCACAGCCGACAAGCAGTTTGCAGAAGATATTCGTAAATTTCTTGGTCTTGTCTAGATTTTTGTTTTTAACTTTTTTTATCATCATATCGTTGCAATAGAGTGATAGTAACCTTCGAAGATCTCAGCTTATTTTTGGAATTTCTTGAAGTTTACTGTTTTTTTATCAGGTTTCTAACCACTGTGTCATCCTGTAGTTGTTTTGATGCGTATATGTTTTGAAGTCGTGAAGTAAACCAGGTGAACATTCCCTTCTGCTTAAATCTCTGTTCATATGGCACCTATGCATTTTCCAAATATGTGTAGTTAGTGCATCGGCATGTACTCCCAGAGTTTGGTGTTGACTGCATCTTCTCTTCATCATCACTTCTCAAGCTGTGCTCACTTTGTACTAGCCCTATTGCCACCACTTGGCAGAGACGAGTAAACGGCAGATAGAGAACAGCTCCATCAACTTCATCGTAGTCATTGAGAAGGGAAGAGTCACAGGCATCTAGAAGGGAGAAACAGTTGCTGTCTTCCAGAAGAGTATAACAACCGCATCAAGCAGGCAAATTCACCGCCGTTGTGGATACAACTTGGAAGCTCAAAATTGCCAGCGTAATTAGGCCGACTCAGCAAAGAAAGCACGCGAATTAGCGCAATCCAATCTAGGACACTACTATAGCGAAAGGAACATTCATCAAGCAAAGCATTTATTCGAGCATGAACATACTCTGGAGGAGTTTGAAGAATGAAAAGAATAAGGGATTCGGCGTCTTGAATACTCCTTGCGCGCCACGCACTCTACTTCATGATTGAAGAGGCTACTGAATGCGTGCGAGCCTTTTACAGTGTGCGGGGGCAGCATATTACCAAGTCAGTACTTTTATCCTCCCGAATATTCTGCTACCAATTTACGGACCCCGTAGGGTAGAAGGCTTGGTTGGCCTAGTGGCGGGGATTGATTTTAAGGGCCGCATGCACTAACATCCCCGCGGGAGGGGATCGCAGCTCAAAAGAAAGCTTCATATCCTGAAGCTCCATATATCTGGGTTTCACGTTGTGTACGTAACCGTAAGTATCCCTACTATCCTTCACTATGAACACATTGAACAGCAGCGAGAAGCTGTACAAGCCGCGGTTTCCAGCTTTTGTATGATCCCTGATGATCCCCGGGGCTTTTCTTTGAGGTCATTTTTCTTTCTCCAAAGTTAACGAAAAGTCTCCAAGGTTGTGCAGGTTATCTAACCCAAAACTGCTTAGTATGTTCCTGATAAGAACAAGTGATGTATCGGAGTCATGAAATTTGCGATGAACCACAAGTCGAAAGCTGTGGTTTATCGAAAAACACGATTTTTCAAAAACTCGTTTGTTCTCATCAGTATCATGCTGAGCACTGTTATGTTAGATAACTAGTACAACTTTAAAAGGTTTTCGTTAGCTTCAAAGAAAGAAAAATGACTTTGAAGAAAAGCGCCGGGGATCGTCAGGGATCATACAAAAGCTGAAAAATGCGGTTTGTACAGCTTCTCGCTCCTGTTCAACAGGTTCATAGTGAAGGGTAGTAGGAATACTTGCGGACAGGTAGACAGCGTGAAATCTAGATATCTGGAGCTTCAGAATATGAAGCTCTCTTCCGAGCTGCGATCCCCTCCCCAGGCGGGATTGTTAGTGCATGCGGCCCTAAGTCCGATCTGGTCAAAGCGGCGCCCGTACCACTACGCCACTCGTCCCCCTATATGGAGTTTACTGCAATGGCCATTCAACAAGCAAAACTAATCAAACTTCAGAAAATTACAGTAAAGATAGCATATTTCTGCAGTAATCGTTATGCTGCTCCGAAACCTGGACGTACTACAAGTTTGCGATATGGGCTGTCCGCTATTCACTGCAAATTCATGACCGTAATCGGCACCGACTCTATCTTGATTATGAGATCCTACGACTACGACGACAAGAGTCTGCCCTTTAGTATCCGGGTTCTCAATTTCCCATCCGGCTCCTTTCGCCATGAGCAGCAGCAAAGCCCAGGGTCAAATTTTTAGTAGAGTTGGACTATGGCTTCCCCGACGTGTTCGATTACGTCAACACTATGTGGCCCACAGCCGAGGCCGCGCGAAGGTCTCATTGGTCAAGTCGCCAATCCAGTGCCAATTAGATCGTTTTCAGCGAAGTTGTGGAGTCGTACACTATGGATTTTTCAATGTTATAAATGTTATTTGGTAGCTGTTGTTGTGTCATAAACCGTCTCGGTTATAGTTAATGCTGCTTTTGAAGGCATCCTCTTTTTTGTTGTCGTCGTTGATGCAGCTATTCTATGTTGCTTATTGCACTATTTGTTACTTAGGATGGTGACTTGAAAGAACTGACAAGGCCGAGATAATGTCTTCAGTCTTTCTCAACCTAAAACAGGTTACAAAACGGCGTATTTTGTGCGACCTCGGTAAACGACGAGGGCAATGTCCCGTCAAGCGGTTCACCGCATCGGGTTTGTGCTAATTGGTCGTTTCAGATGCATTGGACTATCAAGCATTTTCATCCTGCTGCTAATGCGTCCCATGGTGACGTCCCATGGTGACGACGCGTGCCCATTGTCCGCACAGTGAGCTAGTGCTACTTGCCCCGCATAAGGCAGGCCAAACAAGTCCAGAAAGTTCGACTAGCGACGATCAGCATAGGAACGCTGACAAACCGCAGTGAGCTGAGCGACATTGGAGAGAGCGACACGTCGACATCGCATCGCATGTATACAAGAAACGAAATAGAAGAGAAGACCTGCTACATCAGCAAGAGATACCGCCTCTACCACATCGATTAGAGCAGCCGCCAGAACGGAGTCGCGATCCTCGTCAGCATTCAATACCGCGAGTTAGTGACCGAAGTGATGCGTATTTCAGGCAAGACTGATGGCGATGAAGATTGAAGCAGATGACGTCACACTTCGAATAGGGGTCCTGATATGCTCCGCAACCCGCACGCGCCGAACTGAGAAGGACATGTTTTGAAGGGACTTCGACAGCCTACTAAGAACATTCGATGCCGCAGACTACACCTTCGTAGGAGGCGACCTCAAAACAGTGGCTCGGCAAATCCTCAGCCTTTGGTTTTTCTGCTTACCTGGGGTATTTCAACGCCCTGATTTCGGAAATTCACTTTTTAGATCACGAAAATGGCGAAAACCAGCATTTCCCAGGCCCTTCATTTTGAATTTGGACGAGTGGAACGCTCTCCGCCATAGTTAGAGACGCAGAGTCGTTGTGGGACCCTCATGTTTATAGCATTGCGGCATGCCGCCTCTGAGGGCGTGAGGGGTATCGCGGGCTCGTCCGAGCGCGTGTAAGAATGGCTTGCGCGTACGGGTTTGGGACCAATTTTATAGGCAGGGGTTGCATGCTGTGCGCTCGGAACTGCTCCATTGTCGTGGTTGGGGAGCAAGCAACCTTCATATAAAAATTTCGAGATGTTCAATTTTGCCGAGCCACTGCCTCTAACGGGAACGTTTGCCACGCACATGAAGGATTTAACGATACCCCGTGCTGAAATTAGATACGGTCAAAGGAACGAGGACGCGAACGCATACTAAGCGCTGAAGCACAGGACTGGCTATTGCGAACCATTTTTTAAAAAGCAGGAATCGCATTTCATCACGTATGCGAGCGAACCACTCAATTCAGATGATTGCAGGATGCTGCGCCGATGTCACTTGCTGATGGTTATAAACACGAAAGTCATACCTACAGCACACATACATTTGTGCCACAACATCTATTGCTCGTGTTGAGTTTTCGACTAAACATCCAGTTGCATCTACGAATCGGGAGGACGATGACAAATATGATCAAGTGGCGGAAGCTTTTTAAACTTCAGCAAGTCACAGAAGCTCTTAATGCTCTGGAGTTATGATAAAAATTGATTGAAAACCAATGGAATAGGATTACTTCATACACACGATCGAGAGCTGAGGATAACAACTTCTTGGCTGGGTGGTCCCCAACATCTTAGTTGGGATCAGCCAGGATGTTGCTTTGTCGACAATGAGAACTGAGGCGGTATGTGTATCAATCTTCGCTCGGGGTAGGTGTTCCCGTACAAGTCGCACTCCAGTCCCCGGTCGCCCACCTCCCGCGATGCGGCGAAAATGGCCTGACCATGTACTCAGATAATCGCCGGGGGCAGGCGGTCCGCAAACTCGCGCTTTTCTGCAGGCGGTCAGCAGAATTTTGGGGCGTGGCCAAACCTTCAGCGGGCGGTACTTCCGCGTTCTGCCAGCGGGCAGCAATACAGAATTTTCTGCGAGCGCTCGTCAAATAATATATTCCAGCGAGCGCTGCCAAACTTTCAGCAAGCGCTCGGACTCTTTTTAGGTATTTTCGGGCGTACGTCGAGCGCAGGTAAGACTGTGTGGCAGAGGTGTCACCGTTGGTTTAATTACTCAAGTTTGAGGTACTTTCTCTCAGCGGAAAGTACCTGGGGGTTGCGCGGTCCTCCACAAAGGAACGTGCGGCCCTCGAAATTTTTGCATATTCTCGCGGAAAGTCCGCGAGAATGCGGCCACTGCGCCGCAGCTAATCCATAAAGAAACCGCGATTGTTCTTCAAGCATTCGTCTTTAATTTTGCCAACTTTCTTCCAAATTTATGCAAGCGGGCCGCAAAAAATCAACGAACTATTTTTCCGGTGCGCGCTTGCTCAAAATTCGCATGGCTGCCTGCCCCCGGCGGTTATCTGAGTAAGAGCTCAGTCAGGCAGAATCGGGTAGGTCTGCAGTGTCTGGACACCTAGACGATCTCGCTTGTGTATAAATCGTGTAAAGAAGGAAAAGGGCGTCTTTTTTGATTATTTGGCCGAAAATAATCACTAGTCATCGAGTGAGATTTGATAATTGTTATGTTCAAAAGAATAGTCCGATGGAAGAAGTCTTCAAAATCTGAAAACGCTTTCATGCAAAAGGGGATTTCATCGATATCGAGAACTGAACTCGGAGAGAAGCATAGTAGCCGAGGCAAAGGAACGCTACAAGAGACTCTACGATGAGCTAGAAGGAGGTGCTGGCGCTAACAAGATGTCCAAGGCGCTACCCGTTTCAAATGGTCTTCAACGTTGGTACAACAGCCAGAAATAACCGATTGAGTCAAATCACGAGCAACACCGTCGACTTTGCCTCCACGGGACAAGGCAAAGATAAAGAAGAAGAAGACATCTCTTTACCATACAGTAAAATGAAAATATTTCGAGGCAGCGAAGCTGCCGATTACCAGCGGAGCCTGCCGCGTAGCGGTCGCAAGCGGCTAGTATTAGGATACTATGTATGTGGGCGTTGAATGCAATTGCATTGGGGCCTCTCACTTTTGACTTCGCAGCAGCATCCTTCAACACACATAACGCTTGATCCATGCATGCATGCGGGCTATGTCCTGAGGATTCTTCTCCTGTGCGCCGTGGCTGCTGGCAGCTAGCAGCTAGCCGTGCTGTCATTCCTCTTGCCCGCTACTCTGTCAAAGTATGGAAATTGAGGCCAAATTCTAAACTTCTTAGAAATTTTGATTTGGTAAGAAACAAAGAAATTGCCCGTAGTAAATCGCCGTTCATCTCTGTTGACCTGAGATTAATCATTCAGAAGAACTTCCTAGGGTGAACAATCCCTCCCATCGTCCTGTGCTCAATTATGGTTGAGCAGTCAGGAGACTGTTGGTCAAGTGTCACGGTCAGTCCAACAGAATGCCACTTATCCGAGGGTGAATTTTAGGGTGAGCCGAAAGAAATAGTGTGCAAAAGAGAAGAGACAAATTTCTTGTGAATTGCTCGTGATTAGCTTACGGGACAATTTACTTGACGTATTGTTGTAGTACAAGAACGCGCAAAACTGCACAATTTCGGTGCCTAAATAAGAGCTCAATGATTAGCTAATTGCGGCGAGGAATTAGGAAAAAAAGCTTTTTTGTTTTTTCTTGCACTTCCTGTTGATTTTTTCAAAAATCCGCTTCGAATGCAAAGAAGGGAGATTCATCTTTTTATTTACTTTTGGACAACTGTGATTGGGTATGCATGCCAAATGTTGTGAACTTATTTTATACCAGTGCGTCACCTCTGCTTCGCAGAGGCTCGCACTGGCCCTACTTTCCGTATGCCTTACTCATTTTCGCGTAGTAATGGCACTGAAGCTCACCGCGCTATGCAGGCTATCACGAATGATTTGTAAACAACTACTCATTCCTAGAGCTTTTTTGCGTGAGATCGGTATTTTCGCGTGGATGAAACTTTTTCGAGAAGAATAAATGCAAATTTGAACCGGTTTTTGGACTTTTTATGGCCTGGTAGTCGCCATAAGGACAATAATCATCGTGGGCTACATTTCTGTGCAAAAATCCCCTCAAATGGTCAATTAAATTCTTGGTAAATTGAACATTCACGCAACTAATTCTTTTTGGCGCCATTTTCGTAAAGTAATCAACTTTAGTTCAGTTTTTGGGCTAGAGTCCATGGCTTCCACATTAGCTTGTCAACCATATCCACGAATTCGCAAAAAGTGGTGGTACAGGCCCAATTTTGCTGCCCAGAAGCGAAGTGGATCCGTTTGACGCGCGATTTTTGAGGGATCCACTCAGCGGATCCGCTCGTGCTTTCGCATATTGGACTTTTATGAAGGTAGCATGCTCTGTACAAAATTTGGGCTTAGAACGCTGGCTGGAACACGCTCCACGAATTTCGTAACAGACGGACACACACACAAAATCACGTAAACATCCTTAGCCCGTTATTATAAGTTACCAGTGCGTCACCTCTGCTTCGCAGAGGCTCGCACTGGCCCTACTTTCTGCATGCCTTACTCATTCCCGCAGAATAATGACATTGAAACTCACCGCACTATGCAGGCTATCACGAATAAATGAAAACAACTACTCATTCTGAGAGCTTTTTTGTGTGAGATCGGTATTTTCGCGTGGATGAAACCTTTCCGAGAGGAATGAATGCAAATTTGAATAGGTTTTTGGACTTTTTATGTTCTGGTAGTCGCCACAACGACGATCATCACTGTTGGCTACATCTTGGTGCGAAAATCTTCTCAAATGATCAGGTAGATTCTTTGAAAATTGAAGATTCACGCAACTAATTTTTTCGGCGCCATTTTTGTAAAGTGATCAACTTTAGTTCAGTTTTTCGAGCCAAAGTCTGTGGCTTGCACATTAGCTTGTTAATCATATCCGTAACTTCGCAAAAAGTGGTGGAACAGGCCCAATTTTGCTGGCCAGAAGCCAAGTGGATCCGTTTGAAGCGCAATTTTTTGAGGGATCCACTCATCGAATCTGCTCGTGCTTTTGCATATTGAACTTTCATGCTGCTAGCATGCGCCATGCAAAATTTGGGCTCCGGACGTTAGCTGGAACACGCTCCTCGAATTTCGTAACGGACAGACAGACACACAGACACACAAAAAACGTAAACATCCTTAGCCCGTTATTATAAGTTACTAGCTGGCTTACCCGGTTCCGCCGTATCCGGACCAAACTTGGCACACATACACTTCGGGCCCCGGCGGGTGTCACAGTCCACTTTTCGTTATCGATCGATGTCGATTTTACCGATTTTTATCGATTTTTTTGCAGAGTTCACCTACAGGGCTAGGAGTTGGCACAGGGGGGAAGTGAGCATGGGGATTCCGAATACAATATTAGTTTTCAGGATCGTCCATTACTTTTATCGATTTTATCGATTTTTTTGTAAAGTTTGACCTGCGGGGCTGGGAGTTTGCACAGGGGGGTAATCGAGCATGCAGATTACGAATACAATATTAGTTTTCAAGATCGTCCATTACTTTTATCGATTTTATCGATTTTTTGCAAAATTTGAGCTAGGAGGCTGGGAGTTGGCACAGGGGGTAATCGAGCATGCTGATCACCCCCAAGGGGGATGATCAGCATGCTCGATTACCCCCCTGTGCAAACTCCCAGCCCCGCAGGTCAAACTTTACAAAAAAATCGATAAAATCGATAAAAGTAATGGACGATCCTGAAAACTAATATTGTATTCGGAATCCCCATGCTCACTTCCCCCCTGTGCCAACTCCTAGCCCTGTAGGTGAACTCTGCAAAAAAATCGATAAAAATCGGTAAAATCGACATCGATCGATAACGAAAAGTGGACTGTGACACCCGCCGGGGCCCGAAGTGTATGTGTGCCAAGTTTGGTCCGGATCGGTTCAGAAATGAAATTTTCTATTCGGAACATACGTACAGACATACAGACAGACAGACAGACATACAGACAAACAGACGTTCAGCTTTATATATAAGATGATGATGATTTTCGTTTGCTACGGATATCTCTGATAGCGGTCATCATCGATTTTTCGACAGTGGCCGCTATCAAAGACTGCCCGGCAATCCAGCAAAAATGCCATCACAGGCAGGTCTCGAATCTTTGACCGCACTCTTGGAACTTCGTGACAAAGCCGTTTGACCAAATGTGCTCGACAAGTTGTATTTATGAAAACACACATGATTATCAGGTACTTTTCCGTTATCCGGACCCATTTTTTCAAAAGGCTCTCATATTATATGTTCTTTGATCAAAGAATAATTTTTCATAGATGCTACGAGGACTGCCTCCTTGCCACGTGTCACGAAAAAATTGACACGTTTTAGTCGACTTTGACAGGTTTTTTTCGAAATCATTTCCGGTGAGGTAAAAGAGATTTCGTGATCATTCTAAAGCTGCTTAATTGTTTTACATAAGCACAAAACAATCATGAACTTATTCTAGAACATCTTGCTTGCTTTTGACACTGATTCAAAAGCGTATTTCTCTTCAGTTCCTTTTCTCCATGCGAATTTAGCCGAAAAAACTATAAGTGATAGCCTGAAGTGCCTGGCTGCTGCTTATTTCGCTTCTCAAATAACGGAATCCTAGCGCACTTTTCTATCCTGAGCAAGTCTAAATCTGTTCATCGATGATGGTATGTTGTTATTATTATGACAATGTTCACTTTAAAACTATTTAATCGAAATAAGGTCAAAATTTACTAAAAAACAGAATGAACTTACATCGCTAGCTAGGGTGACACAAACTCTTTGTAAAACCTGTTAAACATGTAGATGACATGTCAAATTTTCTTGACACGTGGCAGAAGGTTTTTACTCTTTTCTAAGAAGCTGGGACAAAATATCGTACAAGGATAGAAGCAATATCCTTCTTTGAAAAAAATGGGTCCGGATAACGGAAAAGTACCGATTATCATATTCAAAATGAGGTTTGTCCAGATCGATAGCTCACTGGATGCCCGGCTGGGTCGTCCTACGTTCAACATAGGACCGCCCCAGCCGAGTTGCGCTGAGCAGGGGTTTACTAGGGCCAAAGAAATGTAAAATGTGCAAAAGGCGAAGGTATCAAACATGATCATTATTATACCTGAAAACAGCATCTTAAAGCTCGCACCATTTTCATATAGGCCCCTAATTTGAAATTGGTTATGAGTTTGCTTTGGACTTGCATCTACAAGACGTATCAGTTCCTGTGATTATCAAATCATACGTTGAGAAAGGGCGACGCTCATGCACAGATTTCATGCACTGGAGACTACACTTATTTTAACAGCTCATGACCACAATCTGTTAACTCAAAACTATTTATAACCAGTTTTTCGTTAACCCAAAAAAGTGGCAGCCACACCCTTTCGGGCTTGGCATCATCTTTTGCTTCTGATAATTTTCATATAAGCAAATGGAGTTGAGAGGTTTGCCTAGTGCGTGACAGGTTAAGACAAATAACGCAGGGTATATGTAGTGCAAAACAACCGCCTCTGCAAGTAATCAAACCCTCTTGAGTTCTTCTGGACCAATTTGTCTGTTGCTTTCAAGCTGGGTGGTTGTTCTGAGTGGTCGCTTTTTCTTGAAAGCTATTGGACGAGTGCCATGTCTTTTGCTTTGCAGGTATCCTTCATAAATATTGAGGAAAGCCTCTATTCATCTGTTCAGCTAGTCTTGACTCTGTTTCTCTTGGGATGGTTGAGCATTAGCTGTAGCCTCAGAGGGGCAACTGATGATGAAGCACCCATGAGGCCACAATTCAGAACAGCTCAGAGAGGCCAAAATGCATCTATGGAGTTGAAGAAGACAGTAACTACGACAAAAACTGACAGCAATGAGACAGTTCCTGTGCTAGCGAAACCCCATCGCTGTCTGAAGAAACAATTATCAGCGGAGGATTTTCTAGAGGTGGGTGTTTGTACTATTTGGACGACTTATCTTGTTTATGACAGGATAAGACGCAAGCTGAAGAGATTGAACCTCACGGTGATCGAAAGCTTGTTAGTGCATCTGCAGAAAAGTGGATACCTTATCCAGAAGTGAAGGAGCCAACAAAAGCGCAGAGAAAACGGAGAGCGGCTCAACTAGAACAGGATAAGCTGAAAAAAATAGCGGAGGGATACTATCAGGTAGAAATCTAATCCAAAAATATTGGAAAGGTTACCTTTGCAGCCTCGGTCTGACATGGATGATACTCTCGACCAAGTGGAAAGCCTCGATATGGAAAGATCAGAAGCTAGGTTCAAATGGTTAAAGGTATTACCAATCACTAAAAAATGAAGAAGTGAAGAAGTTAACAAATATGGTTTATACAAGATACTAATTTTGCGTTCCGCCATTCGAATGTTGAAAATAAATCATTTTATGAGAAATTTCAGACAAAATGTGCTGTTCGTAACAAAAAAGCGATTTGCATGAAGCTTCAGTGTTTTGCTCTAGAAATTCATGCATGATGCATATCTAGAATCCAAATTAGCACTTTTCTATCCCATCTATAGGAGATTCATAAGGGACGATCAACTGAGTGATGCATCAGATAAACTGGGGTCATTTGTAAATTCGTATGTGCATTGCTAGCCATGAGTACCATCTGACAACATGTGTGCATGCAGGTTGCACTTTTCAAAAGAATTCTTTTCGTTTATCCAGATACCAGTGCGTCACCTCTGCTTCGCAGAGGCTCGCACTGGTTGCAATATCTGTATGCTTTACTCATTCACGCAATAAAGACATTAAAACTCACCGTGCTATGCAGACTACCACGAACGATCTGTAAATAACTGCTCTTTTACGAGTATGGACGCACCTTTTTTGATTTTTTAAACGAGCTTGCTCTACTTCGGAAAACGAGACTGATGGCGCATGATACTCTCAGGCAATATGGAACATTGTGTATAGTTTTTTGGTCGCAGAGTCCTTCGGCTTGTCTGTGCTGTTCGATTTTAGAAAAAAAAATCCCGCGCGTTCTATACTCGTGAAATTAGGGTACTCATTTCTAAAGCATTTTCATGTGATTTCGCGGTGATTTCGCGTGGATGAAACTTTCTCCAAAAGAACAAATGCAAATTTAAATCAGCTTTTGGACTTCATGGCTTGATAGTCACCTTAATGACATCAATCATCGTGGGCTACATCTACGTACAAAAATCTTCACAGATGATCAGGGGAAATTTTGGCAAATTGAACACACAGCAAATTTTTTTAGCCTTATTCGGAAATAGACTATTGGTCACTTTTTCGAAGTCCATGGCTTATAGATATACTTGTCAAATATATTCTTAATTTTATGGAAAGCCCAAATACGGTTAGTTTTGCTCGCCGAAACTCGCGCGGACCCGTTTGGTGCTCAAGTTCCGTAGGCTCGCAGCGAAGAAGCCGCGAAAGAAACTAAACAATGACGCGAAGTACCGCTGCTGCTTGTTTCGAAATGTTTGGGCAAATCTAGTATGTCTATCTAGGAATAAGATGACATTATTATGATGATTCGCTGCTTGTACTCATCGTTGCTTGAAAAGGGTATATTGACAGTAAACAGGATAAATTCACTTGTGGGTTCACACAACAATTTCGTTAAAACCTATTATACATGTAGATGACCGACTTCTTTTATACGTGGCAGGAGGTAGACACTTCTTCCTGTGAATTGGGACCAATCATTGGGCGAGAAAGGAAGCAATATCCTTTTTTGGAAAGATGAGTTCAGTTAAGTCGAGAAAAAGTATCTTTTTTCATATTAAAAATGAGTGATAAAAAACATCATGACTTATAATAACGGGCTAAGGGTTGTTTACGTGTGTGTGTGTGTGTGTGTGTGTGTGTGTGTGTGTGTGTGTGTGTGTGTGTGTGTGTGTGTGTGTGTGTGTGTGTGTGTGTGTGTGTGTGTGTGTGTGTGTGTGTGTGTGTGTGTGTGTGTGTGTGTGTGTGTGTGTGTGTGTGTGTGTGTGTGTGTGTGTGTGTGTGTGTGTGTGTGTGTGTGTGTGTGTGTGTGTGTGTGTGTGTGTGTGTGTGTGTGTGTGTGTGTGTGTGTGTGTGTGTGTGTGTGTGTGTGTGTGTGTGTGTGTGTGTGTGTGTGTGTGTGTGTGTGTGTGTGTGTGTGTGTGTGTGTGTGTGTGTGTGTGTGTGTGTGTGTGTGTGTGTGTGTGTGTGTGTGTGTGTGTGTGTGTGTGTGTGTGTGTGTGTGTGTGTGTGTGTGTGTGTGTGTGTGTGTGTGTGTGTGTGTGTGTGTGTGTGTGTGTGTGTGTGTGTGTGTGTGTGTGTGTGTGTGTGTGTGTGTGTGTGTGTGTGTGTGTGTGTGTGTGTGTGTGTGTGTGTGTGTGTGTGTGTGTGTGTGTGTGTGTGTGTGTGTGTGTGTGTGTGTGTGTGTGTGTGTGTGTGTGTGTGTGTGTGTGTCCGTTACGAAATTCATAGAGCGAGTTCCAGCCAACCTCTTGAGTCCAAAATTTGCAAGGCGCATGATAGCAGCATGAAACTTCGCTGTGCAAAAGCACGAGCGGATCCGTTGAGTAGATCACTCAAAAACTGCGCTTCAAACGGATGCATTTGGCTTCTGGCCGGCAAAATTGGGCCTGTACCACCACTTTTTGCGAATTCGTGGATATGGTTGACAAGCTAATGTGGAAGCCATGGACTCTAGCCCAAAAACTGAACTAAAGTTGATTACTTTACGAAGATGGCGCCAAAAAGAATTAGTTGCGTGAATGTTCAATTTACCAGGAATTTAATTGACCATTTGAGGGGATTTTTGCACAGAAATGTAGCCAACGGTAATTATTGTCCTTATGGCGACTACCAGGCCATAAAATGTCCAAAAACCGGTTCAAATTTGCATTTATTCTTCTCGAAAAAGTTTCATCCACGCGAAAATACCGATCTCACGCAAAAAAGCTCTCGGAATGAGCAGCTGTTTACAAATCATTCGTGATAGCCTGCATAGCGCGGTGAGCTTCAGTGCCATTACTACGCGAAAATGAGTAAGGCATACGGAAAGTAGGGCCAGTGCGAGCCTCTGCGAAGCAGAGGTGACGCACTGGTATTTATATATCTGGGAACTGTGATTTTAAGAGTTAGCAAATTTTCGGTCCAAATATTCCGAACGTTGTCATCCGGCTGATAAACATTTACAGATATTTTCTCCATTTTCCACTTTCAATTGCTTAGTCCATAATGCGCAGGATCAAAATCTTCTAATGCAAAGATTTGTTAACTACTAGTAAACTCAAACACATGCTGTTAAAGGTGTACCGCTCTCAGAGTAAACTTGGAAGCACTTCGATGCGCAGGCAACAACAGACGTATCATTCTTTGTAGTCGAAAAAGCTTCTGAACGCGTGCGAACCTTCTCCATAACATGCGGAGTTGGCCGATTAGCGAATTAGTCCGATCTTGAAGTATCTGGTACCAATTTGTTTGATTATTCTTTGCGAATGTCTGTGTTACAAACTGATTGGGCGTTCACAAATTTTCCATATAAAATAAGAAAATGGAATGCTGACGAAAGAACGAAGGGCAATAAACCGCACAATGATACTGCATGAGTCTTGTTCCGGCTTCGCCCTCTGACGCGCGACAGTTTACTGTTAGGACATTAGGGATGACGAACGTGAGTACAAGCAACAAAGCATTAGCTAAAAAGAGCCCGCTGGCCTAATGCCTTATAATAAACCAGCGCGTCACCTCTGCTTCGCAGAGGCTCGCACTGGCTATACTATCTATGTGCCTTGTTCATGCTCGTAAAATCTTCCCACTGGAACTCACGGCGCTATGCCGACTACCACGAATAAGATGTAAACAACTACTCATTTAGAAAGTTTTTTCACGTGAGTTCGGTGATTTCGCGTGAGTGGAACTTTTCGCAGGAAGACAAAACGCAAATTTGGATAGTCTTTTGAATTTGTCATGGCTTGGTAGTCGCCATAAAGGCAATAGTAACCACGAGAAACATTTCTGTGCGAAAATCTTCTCAAATGCTTGGCTAGAACCTTGGCAGATTGACCATTTGCGCAACTAAGTTTTTTTGGCGCCGTTTTCGTTATATAGTAAACTTTTGACCACTTTTCGGGCTAAAGTCCACCGCATGCACATTTGCTTACCAAACACATCCACGACTTTGCAAAAAGTGGTGATACGGACCCAATTTTGCGGGACAGAAGCCAGGTGGACCCGTTTGGCGCGCAATTTCTGAGGGATCCACTCAACGAATCTACTCGTGCTTTTGCGTGTTGGACTTTCATGAAGGTAGCATGCGCTATGCGAAATTTGGGCTTTGAACGGTGGCTGGAACACGCTCTACGAATTTCGTAACAGACGGACACGCACACACACACAAAAACACGTAAACAACCCTTTGTCCATTATTGTAAGGTCTTGACTGTTATCAACTTACCACTGTCTACAAAACTTGCGGTCGAGAACAGGATAAGTGCTTTCCATTTATACACCTACACTCATGTCCGCGGTTGATGTATCGGTCTTGTTGCCCTCCAAAGGAGGTGTGTTGTTCAAAGTAAAGTTTGTATGCCGCAGGCCTCAGTCGCTTTTTCTTACAATTGCCTGCCCTTTGATGTACAAGTGGAAGACTTCACTCGACATAGAAATGGCGTACGAACACTCGAAGTTTCGACCTCGAGCGTAGTAAAGTATCCTGTTTCACTCTCCCAGAGACGACCTTTGCTTGGATTGTCGAGTGTTCAAATTATATTGTTCAGTATATTGCATCACATTATGACCTTACACGTTAAGACACTCGATCTCTACAAACGATCGGGATTGTCACCACCTCTGAAGTCACCACGTGTAGTGCGGTTTTTATAGTGACCTTGTCTGCCCAAAACTAAAGTCTTGTGATACGTTGAAGGCTTTGGCCATACTTCACCCGTGTTGCCGATGTTTCCAGTGTTGCCGGTGTTGAAAGTGTTGAAAGTGTTGAATGGAGATCATCAGTCTAGCAGTTTCATTCTTTCTCGAACGATCTCACCGGCTGGTGAATACGTTGGAAATGGAATTGGGGAATGAGAAAAAAAACTGAAATAAGATGGGGAATGTTTTCGCATGCAAAAGATCAAACAAACTTTTTGAAAAGTGGACGGCTTGTCTGAAATAGGCAACCTCCAATATTTGAAAACGCTGCAGACCTCACCTAGGTCCCTACTCACTAATCGCAAGCGCGGCAGGATTCGAACTAAAACACATTACTACTCAGACGTTAGCTTTCTCAAATATTGGAGATTGCCTATTTCAGACAAGCCGTCCACTTCCCAAAAAGTTTGTTTGAGGATCTTCTGCATGCGAAAATCTTCCCCATCTTATTTCAGTTTTTTTTCTCATTCCCCAATTCCATTTCCAACGTATTCACCAGCCGGTGAGATCGTTCGAGAAAGAATGAAACTGCTAGACTGATGATCTCCATTCAACACTTTCAACACCGGCAACACTTTCAACACTTTCAACACCGGCAACACTTTCAACACTTTCAACACCGGTAACACTTTCAACACTTTCAACACTTTCAACACCGGCAACACTTTCAACACTGGCAACACTGGAAACATCGGCAACACGGGCGAAGTATGGCCAAAGCCGAAGAGATTTTTGTGCTCCCTCGCATATTCTATAAAAATTGCATCTGAGGATTAATCATCATTAATCATCAGATTTAACATTGGTCATATGCTGCTCCCAATAGTCACGTTTCTTGTCCAGCGAAATACCTTCTTCAGAATGCAATTATGCTCTGCAGAGCAGTGACAGTGAAAATGAAGAATATGAAACATCCAATTCTGTAGCACTTGGTATAATGCGGTCATTATCTGAAAACATATCTTTTGAACATTCACGGATTTTGGTAAGTTCAGTCATTCCACAATTCAATCAAACACTACCCTAATTCTTTTAAAGTAGTTAGAGGTCACATGCAGCGTCGAGGTGCCCGGAGTTATGAGCTGATTACTGATTATACGGTGCTGGATATAAATCCACCCTAAACATCAGTGTACCTTGCCTTCTTGCCAGTCTAACCGTCTGGTATTTTGTGTTTGGTGCATGTGCTAGCGCATCATCGAGCGTTGATTGTTGTTTTTGGCTAGACTGCTTACGGGGTGCTAAAGTGCTATCTCAGCGTTTAATTCAGACGGTATGAGTTCTCAGCTTTCAGACGTTATGAAACTAAGGATGTCACGATATCCGCCAAATCTCCATTCTGTAAAAAAACAAAATCGTTCGTTATTGAACTGGTGCATCAACTCAGCTTCGCAGCGGTCTGAACTAATGTTTTACTATCTAACTGACTGCCCAAGAAATTTCAGGCGCAAACCAATCCAGGAGTGTTAGTGCCTTGCAAATCTTACTTTTCAAAATAAATTTATTTATCGACCTGAAATATAGCAGAACAAAGCATGTACCATAAAGTTGTTCAAACGCTACAACTTTGCAGCAAAAGACAGTAAAGGCGCAGCCTTCTCTGGATGTTGTAAATTTATCAATCTATTCAAGGTACCCGAGGTAAGCTCAGTGGGATTAGATCAAAGCACGCATGGTTAAACCCATTCGCCTTGTCTCATCCTTGCTTATCAAAATCTGATTAATAAAAAGTGAGATAAAGCGAAAGTGACTATGCTTGTTTTTACGTTTTTTTTAAACTACGATCTGAAAAGTAAACATTGGTCAAAATAGTCAATCTTAAATGCTATAATTCCGATGTCATTTCATATTGGTGTGGTGGTGTCAGACTGACTTTTAAAACACTTACCAATTACATTTGCTTACCCATGAGCGAGTGCAATTTTTGTACACCTGCTAACTAAGGGACCGGTGAACTAGTGTAATCTGTGGCAGTCCCACACATCAACAGCATCGCCTTCTTACTTATTAAAAGGCAACATTGAAAATTTTACCAAAGAAGGAACAACAGAACATTGTTCACAGAAAACAGTAGATTCGAGTATGTACAAGAAAGGAGAAAGTGCGAGCGCGTGTTGGCATATTAGGAAGCACTGACAAAAGATTAGCATGAAACTGTTTTCGGAAAAACGATCTCCTCAAATTTTAGATACAATTCAAAGTTTTGTACCTCACTGTATGCTGCTTCTTCAGCGCGAATAGTTGCGAATATCGTGAACACAAAATTTGTGAAACGGAACGAATTCCGAAGTGGAGTTCCCCGTTATGAAGCGGCCGCATGCGGACGCCGCTGCGGCTGTTTCATCACTGAGGAAGCCGCTTCCCTCGCAGCAGAGATGTTCAAGCACACGAGCTGAAGTCAGGAAATTTTCAAGGTTTTCTTCTAACAAGAGAAGTGTCAGAAGTCGCAGTGGCCTTTGACATAAGATAGATATCATCTGCAAGGCTTCAAACGCTGATTCCAAAACAATCTTCGTCAGCTGCAGAATGAATTTGGGTTGAGAGTTATTGGGGTGGAGGGACGAATACTTCAATCAGGCACCGCCTCCGCGGACTACTGGTCCCAAGACGATGCACAACGGCAGGACGAAAGGACCGGCAGCACGCCGAGGCGGTGTCTAATTGAGATGTTCGTTCCCCTCCGAGTTATTGAATTTATCTTGCCGAAAATTCACAACGTTGTGATAGCCAAAGCTATCAAAGTCCGTACATCTTGAGAAACATAGATGAAACACTTTATCAATGCTTGATGTAATTCTACTCCTTACTCTGTGTTATGCTGTAATGCTTAAACAAGCATTTGAACGATTTCTATAATCACGGGGTAAATTGAACAATGTAAAATCTGATTTAGGTGATTTAGATGCCCGTAACTCCGGCAGAGCCTTTCTGCTGCTAGAAACAACTGTCTTGGGATCAGCGTTCCATGCTGCTGGAAAAGATATGTACCTATCTTATATCAAAATTCTACCACAACTTTTGACACTTTCCTTGTAAAGCTTTGCAGCCAAAATTCTCACTATCACTGGCCGAGATGCTCAAGTTTTGGTTTCTCCAATATTTATGATGCTCACTCTTTTCTTTTTATTGAAGTTAACCCAGTCAAATTGTTCGCCGCATCCATTTTTTTCATTTCTAGTACCATGCCCCAAATTCCGTTCTCAGTGTATCTATATTCCTGGCAAAATCGAACACAATTCTGTTCTTTTTTCTAGGGGTTGCCTGCTAAATTGTCCTGAGTTTATGTTTTTCAAACATCCTCACAGCAAGGTGCCCAATATAGCATATTCTCTCGCAAACATTCCTAATCTGTTCACAGTCGTAAGTCTTCACACCAGTTCGTTTGCCTTATTCCTTTGACCTTTGTCGATGCCTTCATTTCTAATCTAACCTAACTTCAAAATTCTCTCGTTTAGTGTTTAGAAAGTGGACTTTGAACTCAGACTTTCCAGTTTGCCGAAGTCGTTCTCTCCTAATAAAAGTATTTCCCCAGGCTCGCACTACTCTTTTGTCGGATCTTTACACCTCAGAAACCAAACCCTCTTCCCGATTTCTAACATGAAGCTAGGTTATTCCGACAGTTTTTTTTAATTGATAGCCGCGTTCCAACTTTTCTCGTTTTTCAAACCAGCCAAAATGTCAACAATTTTTTTCATGATTTCCCAACCCCAGATAAGATCCTTCTTTTGAGCTATTTTGATCGAAGTACGCTCATCCGTCTCCCTCTCCTTCCTCCACTCCCTCCTCCTGAAACTGTTTTGATTGAAGTTGTTCTGCTCATTCTGTGAATTTTCCACAAGCCAGTTGAATCAAATGGTACCTCCATTTGCAATTCTTACTTGATTCCTTTAAAGGCAGATTCTGCACTTAAAGTTTGCTTACCTGGGGTAATTCGAGGCGCTGATTCCGAAAACCCACCTTGAAGAGCGCGAAAATGGCAAAAACCACCATCTCCCAAGGCCTCCATTTTGAATAATTTGGACGAGTGGAGCTCGTCCCGCCATGGTTAGAGAGGCAGAAACCCTGCGGGACCTCGCAGTTACAACATTGCTGCGTGTCTTCTCTGACGGGTCAGGGAGAATCACAAGCTCGTCCGCGCGTATTAGAATGGCTTGAACGTAGCGGGTTTAGGGGCAGTTTTCTAGGCAAGAGCAGCATGCTGTGCTCTTTGAGATCTGCTCTGTTTTCATGTTTGGGGTGAACGCAACCTTCCATGTCAAAATTTCGGGAGTTCGGTTTTGGCGAGCTGCTGCCTTTAAAAGGTTACATAGATGCAAAACCACATAACGTCAGAAAAAGGGGTCACATAACATTGCGGATCGCCTTCTTCAGGCACCAACAATGGGCAACAGGTCATAAGCAGATGATAATAGCCTGTATCCGACAATACAGTCGAACATAATTTTTATATCGCTGCTAAATAAACAAATTAATTGCTTAACTTTGAATCTGATTTTGATGATTTGAAAGTGGAAAAATACAGTGATCATTTTTTCAAAAAAGAGCTCATCTGTAAACTGAACAGCATATCGAACGATTCTGTAGAGGAATTGCGATGATTTGTAAAGCGATTTATGATTGTGTCCAGCACTGTATCATGTTGACCCATAATTTCCTTACGACTCCGATAGAATCCTCTTCTTCAGGTTTTCACTGAGCGTTAGTAAGGTATGACAAGCAAGCCTTATTAGCAGACCACAACATCTATATGAATCGTAATTCAGTCAAAGCTAGGTGTCGGAAATCTCAAATACCCAGTAGAAAGCACTGAAAAATTCCTACAAACCTTCCAGTGTCAGTCATACATATACTATACACATGATAAACACTAGATTGATGCAAAACTAACGCAATTTCTTCTGCTTCAGAAAGTAGCATAGAAGTCTTATCCCTGTATGTGCCCTAGCCATCAAAAAATACACATTCAGCACAAAACACGGAAAGAGCGGCATTTTCGAATTTCCAGCCTATTTTTGAGCGTATTCCAAGGCCAGAAAAAAGGACAAGCACTCCTTTGTCTCACTGGAAGTGGCGGCTGAAAGGCAGGGCTTTGATTGTTGATCAAGCCTCGCGAGCGTACTCTTCAAACTATGCTTGGAATTGATCCGTTCCAAGTTTCACCCGCTAATCGCGATGAAACAATTGTACATGTGCTTTGTGTCTATTACTTGATGACCAGTTGGAGGCTTGCAAGATCTTTTTTTAATGGGGTTTCGATTTTTGGGGGTAATTGAACCTTTCGATCTTGGTTGTCCTTGTATATATCATGTGTTGATGATTTCACTATCATCAACCATTGATGAACTCTATATTCTAGGTAGCCTACGGAATACACGTAGGCTAAATTGTGAGCTACTCACTTTTGAGTATCTAATCACTCAAGGAGTGGTACCCGTGCGCCAGGAGTGTAGCCAATCGGCGGCACCTCCTTTCAAGCATCAACTCGTGTACATTGTACCCTGTACTCGGTTCAGCTCCGCCTTCCTTCGTAAATAAGGAGCCACCGAATGTATTAGAGGTTGCTCCCCGGTCCACACCGGGACACCTCACACTTCTTCACGACTAATCTACGCCCGTGCGAATACATCTATATTCCACAACCTCGTCTACCCCTAATCACTTGGTACCCACCAAATTATGGTTGCTCAGAAAAATGGTTAGTCGTCTTGTAGAAAAGTATATTTCACTTATTCTTTATATTCACAATGAGGCTGACGTATAAGAAATTATTATTACTTTTGCAACAACCTAATATATATATATATATGTTGTACCTTTTCTTGGTGAGCAAAAAAGAAAAGTTGTTAAAAATAGATTCTTTCTTTGGTGATAGTTTATCCTTTTCTTTCGAGTCCCTCTCACGTAAACATATCGGTACAAAAGTCAACTTTTAGAACCATCTGCAAATCCGTAACCTAAATTTAACTCATGCTTCAAGCAGTTTCGATGCAAATTTTCCTCCGCTTTCCAGCAGCTATATTCCCAATGCGACTTCGCCAAAGCTTGTAACCCACCAAATCAACTTTGTCTGGCCGCTAATTTTCAAAATTTTTGCTCAAATCTTTCAGAGAGCTTCAATAACCAGATAGGACGAACCTTACGCAAGTCAAGTTGATGCGATTTTTTTAGGATTTCGTGGCTTTTTGAATTAACCAAGTTCTGTATTCTATTATAATGATCACCCTATCAGCATGTAGGTAAAGTGTGCAAAAGCACTGGCTGATCCAATAAGTGGCACCTGTGAAAACGTGCGCTAAACGGATCCACGCGTCTTTTGGCGCGCCAAAGCGAATCTGTAATTGGATTTTTTCTAAAGTCGTGGATTCACTTAAAAAGTGAATCTGCAAACCATGGACTCCAGCCCGAAAAGTGAGCAAAAAGTGCACTTTCACGCAAGATCGGCTCCAAAAAGTAGTAATTGCGTGGACCGGATTTGTCAAGGTTACCTTAGCATCTGGGAAGATTTTCGCTTAGAGATGTCATTCATAGTTGTCATCATCCTTGGCGTCTATCAAGCTATTATAACTTCAGTAATTAACTCAAATTCGCAATCAATCTTTTGGCTAATACTTCGCCGATCTTACATGAATAAGCTTTTGGAATGAGTAGTTGTTTGCAGTTCATTTGTGATGATCAGCATCGCGCGGTAGGTTTCAAAGCCATCGACTACGAGAAAGCATGTGAATAATGAATCAGTCGAGTCTTGCAAAGCAGAGGTGACGCACTGGTAAAGTGGTATACAGTTCAGGCACCATTCGATGCAACGTATTCTAGTCTTTCTAGCAACTATCTTCTTTGCAAAACGTGCGAATTTGCCGACGAAATCGCCTAATTTCTCGATTTTACGCCATTGTGCACTCTAAATTACTACAATTATACGGTTACAAGATACAGTGTGAGTGCAGCGTCTTCCTAAAACCGGCCACCTAAACACGCCAAAGGATATCGCGACCAAAAAACAGATGTAGTGCTGTGTATTGCACTCGTAGGGCAGCACAAGGGTCGTTCGGCGAAACTCAGCGAAGCGACTGAGCAGCTCGCTCAAAAGGAAAAGGTGCGTCCTGTACTCGTGAAATTATGCAGGATCTCCATTTTTTGAAGTGAGATTGCACATTTACTTTGTAAAATTAGTGTGCATTAAGTTCACAATTTCATTATGCTGGAGCTTTTGCAGTTTGGTGCGGTAAGTGTTGCCTTTTTAGACCCAAGACTTTCGGGAAATTGTTAAGCAAAATATTGAAGAAGGATTGATAAAACGTAAAGGTTGTTTTGTAGGGTTTACCTATTTGCTGGCTATCAAATCCCTTTCTTTCTTTGCAGGATTCGCGGGTGCGCTTAAAAAACTGACAAAGCTTTTGCACCAATCTAATGTCAAACATTCGAAAGTATAGCACCGAAATCACGCTCGTGACCGATTTAGTTTTTAAGGAACGGCAATTTTAGCTCTGAAAAAAGCGATAATATACAGGGTGTCCCAAAAAAATGTGAACGCTGTTTGACCGTTAATAACTCCCTTACCTTCATGTCTCTCGCCGAGATTAAGATACCATTCTGTAAAGCGAGGTTAAACTTAGATTTATGGTATGGAGCGAATCAGCGTTCGCTCTTCGTTACTGTAGGATTACGGTAGGAACTTCGACGGGGATTTTAGGCTGTTGGAGGTCATATTCTGCCTCAGAACAAAACTAGACAAGCCAAAAACTTAAAAACTTATACTATGGTAATGGAAGCCGCTAATTTCGAATATGAAACTTTCATTCTATTGTGATGCTTCTTTCCAAAGTTATCCTCGGTAAATCGTAATAAATCAATTATTGCATTTGCCAGAAATGTAAAAACACGGTCAAAAAAGCTGAAAACACTCGTAGAAAGTTGTGTAATGGGATCAGCGTGCCCGAAAACTCTAGTACACGATTTTTCAGATTTTTTGAAAAATTTTTTTGGCATATTTCACAATAGATCCACATGCTAGAAGTTCATACCGTAATCCTACAGTAACGAACAGCGATCGGTGATTCGCTCCACACTACAAATCTAAGTTGAACCTCGCTCTACAGAATGGTGCCTCTAGCTCGGCGAAGGACATCAAAGCAAAAGAGTTATTAACGATCAAACAGTGTTCACATTTTTTGGGACACCCTGTATATTGGAATTACCTAACAGCATAATAAATAGCAGTTGAAGTCGACTGCACGGGATTGGCCTTATCGTCTTAGGCTTAACGCTCGCGAGCGTGCGTGGCGCGCGGCTGCCGCTGGCGTTGTGATGACTCATGCGCGAATGCCAATAGTATTTCGCAAGACATCTAGGTCGATCGTGCGAAGTTCAGCCTACGGCGATACTGGCATTTTAGTGTAATCAACTTCTCAGTCGCCCAACATATAATATAGACGAAAATGCTGAGCCCCCAACTTTAGAATTCAACATAGATACGTTGCAGAAATTGCTTGACGTAGACTTCTCGCCTGAAAGCAGTATTTCGCTGGGAGTAGCTATCTCAAAGGTTCGTTATAAATAACATTTGAAGCGAAAGTGAATTGTCCTTTTGATTTCAGCAATTATTTGCAATACTTTTTGGTTTCGGTATTTTTATGTCATGTGTGCTCATAGTCACTTGTGTTGTCAACCTCGTAAGAACCAACACCATTTCTGCTAAGGTGATTTATTTCAAATCTCGTGAGTGTTCACAGTTCAAAAGTATTTTGGTTTTAGTACAGTGGTGGAAAATGGGGAATTATATTGCCATTTGTACTGTTATCTATCTCGTGCGTAGGAATGATCTGTGTGACTATTAAAATGTCGAAAAATGCGTATCTCGCTCAACTCGGTGCCGACAGTCTGTCTAAAAAGCTTGGAGATTTTGGTATGTGCATAGCATACGTAATTAACTAGAGAAAAGAGCAACTCGGGTTAGTGCACAGAAAAACTGACCGCTTCGAGCAAATTTAGCTGTTTCCTCAAACAGCCGTTCCCCTTCTACGTTTGAAGTGACAAAAAATGAAAAATTTGTCGAATAACTTCTGTTACACTTTTTGTTTCACTTGTTAAACATTTCAGAAGATTTTAAAAAATCTCATGTTTGCGACTGGGCATATCATAAAACCTATTCGTCGGTACCGCCGCATCCCTGATCCGTGCCCCGAACACACATTTTGGCTGAAAATCCGTTTTGTTTCCATTTTTGTAAATGAACTGGCATTTTTTTAGGTGATGGGCGAGAGACCAGACAATGTACTCAAGTAAAACATAGTCTAAAGCGTTTAGCAATTAGGGGGAAACACAGATATGACTTCACGCGTTCTTTTGGGCGGTCAGTCAGCGCCATCTTTGCAACCACCGATATTCTAACGAAGAAAACTTCAAAAGGTTTCAAAAAATTATTTTCAAGTTCTCTATATTTATTTCTACACGATGTACATAGAAAAGAATTTAGGAAAGTTTTCGAGTTTTTTGCACTTTTTTACACCTCGTTTTTGAAGCGCAAGCGGGTGCAGAGAAGAAAATCAGACAAAAAGAAAATCTGAGTGTTTTTACATGCTGTAACCTTGTTGGTCATTGCACTTGCTTCATCACTTACGCTGTCGGGTAAATCCTGCTATGTCCTAAGCGTGTCGCAAATCTGGGTATTAAGGAAGCTACTGAAATTTTTTTGAAAAAATTAGAAAAAGTGTAACAGAGATTATCCGACAACCTATATTTTGGCAAACCATGACGATTTGTGCAGAATGCACTTCTCTAAAGCTTTAAAGGGGGTGTATGTCGAAAGGCGCACATTTCAGCAGTCGTCACTGCCAGAAGGGATTTGTACTTTACAAAAAAGAGGTTTTCAAACTCTTGAATTTCCGTCATCGATCAGAAATAGTAACAGAGAATTATTAGTTGAATTTCCGGAAGTACTAAACAAAATCAAACTTTTTTCCTGGTTTTCCTGATTGGTGACAATCGATCAATACGCGCCATTCGACCGTCTACCCTTTAAAGGTAGTGGCAGGCAATCCGCTCAAATAAGGTTTTCAGGAGGAAACTGATTGAATATCTAAGCTAAGAGACTGTCGGAGGGAAAGCACATGCGGTCACCCCAAGGCAGAAACAATACGTCTCCGATGTTGATTCGATCTACCCGACAAAAATTTGTACTGTTACCGTATTTGGCGGATAACTTGCATCGGCTTCCGTGCTATTTGCTAACTGCCGATGGATGTCATCAAGTAGCACAGTGGCGTTCTCAAGGCTGAATGCTGCCGTGTGTTATTTTGTTCACATATCGGCAAACAGATTTAGTTCTCACATCGACATTGCTTTGCACAGATATGCAAAGTAATGTCGCGAAATCTACCACCTCTATCACATCTACTCTGAACATTTTTACCAGAGTTCACCTCAGTTTTCCGTTTATCATTTTCCTGATGCTCAATATAAATTCCAACACAGTGTTATTGCTTCTGCGCTTCTGCGTACGGAATAACGTCATTTGCCCAGCCCAAGCCGAAAACTAGTTATTACCTCGCGTGACTACTTACTGGTGCACCTGATATGCGAAGCACTACTATTATTCGCCTACATGCATATATGCTGAAATTAAACTTATGTACTACAACGTCCTATCATATCTAGGTACAAGTGGCTCCCTTAAAATCAATGCAAGTAACGCAATATGTCTGCTGAAGTCAACTGCTATTGACCTTGGAGTGCAGCAAGCGAAAGAGGAATCTTTGAGCGTTTGTTTGAAAACATTAACTGAAAGTACAAACATCAACACTGGAAAGGTAAACGTTTTTAAGCGCTAAGCTTTGAATCCGTTTGTCGTATAGGTTTCAAAAGCACTGAGAGATTCAATAGCAGTTGCCCTTAATGTGAAAAAAGTAGCTAAAGGCTTCAATGTGAAAGATGCAGCACTTTGGATGGAGAAGGTGGTACGTATGAATTGAAATCCAGTTCTAAATTACACTTTATCCAAAAACCGCAGGCTAACGATTTTTTGGAAAAGATTCATACACCAAATAGCGACTTGGCTGGAAAAACAGTTGCTTTTGAATCTGAGGTTGTGCTCACAAATCAGCAGCTCGTGTATGCTTTATTTGTATATATAGATCAGAAACATAAAGAAGATGTTCAATGCTTTGGAGAGCAAAATGATAGAAGTCTTCAATAGCTTTGTGCGATTATGTGAAGAGGTCTGCTGTTTATTCTTCTGAAACACTGATTCAAAATGCTGAATGGTCCGTGAGTAACCTAGAATGCAATTCGTATCTCCTAGTGGAACAAATCATTTATGTAGTTGCGAAAAAAATGACAAATGAAAAAAAGAAGAAAAGGGTTTTCAATAATGTTTGAACTTTCATGACAGTCGTTTCGAATAGTGTAAAGTTCCAGATTTGAGTCTGTCAACGTAACTACCGTGCACGCTGTGGTTTTCAAGTTAAGTCCACTTTATAGGTAATTGAGAAACTTATCAGAAACACAAAGGAGGTAGATGAAAACATGAAAAGCCTTTTGACCATAAAGGTAGGCCACTTCACACATTACTGAAGTTTCCGCAAGCCTTAAAATTCTTCGCTCAGAGGTCAGTTTAGGCTCCCGCCAGAGTGCCGAAGCCATGCCAGCGCTACGCCAGCGCCGAGCTAGCGTTTCGATCGCTAAAGGATATTCGTTGACGACAGCCCCGTTTCGTGCATTTACACCATTGCGGGCGTGCTTTTTTGAAGCCTTTCCAGCTTTACAGTATGCTACAGCGCGCAGAATTCGCAGCTCGCAGCATCCCTGTCCTTTAACCTCTTCCGCATTCCTCATCTTTTCTTCCTTTTTAATCTTGAGTTCAGGCAGCATTTGCTCATCAGTTACTCGTTCTCCTTTTCTTTGGATTGTCTCGGTCGAGCATCCTACAAGTTCTGCTTTGATGGGTTCTGAAAAAAAGCAGGAAAAAAGTTTTGGTACAGTTATTGAATTCATGCTCTCCTTTTTACATACGATAAAAACATTTTAAAAATCGTAAACTATCGTCCCGGCATAGTAAGGAGAAAGAAGGTGCTTTCCTCATGAGCAGTGATAGCTATTACGCCTTCTCCTCAAAAGAGACCGCTGAAATGTTTATTTTAGCACACCTACATGTCTCCTTGATGTAGAAGTTCTGAAATAGCCACTTCAGCAGTCTGTCTTAAGAAAAAAAGCAAATTATAATGAAACACTGAAGAAAACATTGCACTTCCAATCATAGCCACGATATCCGCCATTGCAACATTGAAGAAAACTCGTTATTCCTTCCGATTCTTTCCGGAGCAATGGTTTTGCGTGTATGAGAATGTGTAACTGCCTAAAATGAAAATTAAGGAGAAAAAACGATGTGAGATACTCAAACAACAAAAAGAAGTTTAAGGACGGGCATGCTGTGAGCTGCGGATATCCCGCGAACTGCTGCTTACTGTAAAGCTGGAAAGTCTTTAAAAAGGCACGCCCGGGATGGTGTAAATGCACGAAACGGGGCTGTCGTCGACGGATATCCTTTACAGGTGTATCTCGTTGGGGCGGGGTCCTGGCTGAGAACTAGGTCAGCTAGCCCCGCCCCAACGAAATACACGTGTATCGATCGAAACGCTGGCTCGGCGCTGGCGTAGCGCTGGCATGGCTTCGGCACTCTAACGGGAGCCTTACAGATCAATCAAAATGTGGCGTAAGCATAATATCAGTTTAGAAAACGATTATCTCTTTAAAAAATTACACACTAGAAGATTAAGGCTTGCTAATGTAATAGGAAGGCTAGAAGGTCGGTGGTGCAACGCAAAAAATAGTAGAGAAGCTTCCTGCCTACCAAAGAGCTTGGAAGCCTTCAGCATACTCAAGATGTAGCTAAAAGAGCCGTAAAATCAAGTCTCCAACTCAAGCTATTTTAGCACCCCATGAAATGTTTTTCTGTCTCAAAGCAGCTTGCGCAATAGCTTCACGGGGCTTGTGGGCATTATCATCCAGTATCACTTGGGACGAAACTCAGTGTGACTTTATAAGAGGAGCGCAAAAAATTTCTTGGAAACATCGTTGAGAGTCCAAACATTCAGCAAAAAATCTCCCTTCGATCTTTCCTGACGCTATCATTCTGATTTCCTCGTTACGCATTTTGAAGGCTGTGGCTCGGCAAATCTTGATTTAGTCAAATTCTCGCTTACCTGCGGTTGTCCGATGCGCTGACCCCGAAAATGCACTTTAAGGAGCTTGATGGCGAGAACAAGCGTTTCCCAATGCCCTTCGCTTTCAAATTGGACGAGTGTGGCAAGGCTGGGGACGCTGAATCGTTGCAGGACCCATAGTTATAGCATAGCGGTGGGCAGCCTTTAACGCTGAGATGAGAGCGGAATTGCCAACTCGTCAGAGCGCGTGTAAGTTTGAAAGCAATTTTCTTGGCAGGGAAGGCATGCTATGCGACCGGGATTGCAATGTTTTCATACTTGAGTGAAATCCTGAGCTGTTAAATTTTGCCGATCCGCTGCCTTTAAATCCTTTATTGCGTCAAAAACAACAATGAAAGCGGATTTTCCAAAAAAGCAAGGTTTTCGAAGTTTTATGCGATAGTGAACCCCTGTAGCGTCACACAGGGTCATGAAGCTTTCTCTGCAAAATTTGAAGACATAGGGCTGAATACTTCTTTGAGATTTCCCATCGATAAAAACGATAGGTTGGTGTATACAATAAAATAGCAGCTTTCTTTGCAAAATTTGATTCATCGAATTCTGAAGAGAAAGCCGGACAGCAGCAGTAGCAAGCCAGAGACAAGCTCATATATGATGCACAGCAAATATGATTCCAGTTGGTCGAATTACTGCCATCAGCAGGGTCGTGGCAGTTTCTCGACTTTAGGTCTTGATTACATTCGATGTTTTGGATAATTTTTAGAGTGTGCTTCATTGCTTCCGCTTTTCTGGGCTTCCAAAGACTCTATGGGTTTGAAGCGCTGATGGTAACCCATCAACTAATCATCAGTGAATTTGCAGAATAGGAAAATTGCACTCTGTCAATGCACACTGCGATATATTCTTGTTCTAATTTGTCTTTATCCAGCAAGAGCTGATGACACCAATCAAAACTGTGCTTATTTATGACAATGTTTCAGGAAATCGCTTTTGCATCAAATTACTTCCTGTTCGTCATATGGTTCCCATCCGCAATAGCAGTAATGTGCTTATTTGCCGATGTTTCATTGATAATAGGGTGAGACTGAGTGAGCAAGATCCATAACACAGCCTGATTAAGTGAATGGTTTTGAGAGTGATCAATGTAAGAAGAGAAGATTACAATGACAAGAAACCTTACCGAGGAAGAGTGTCGCAGCTAGCAGCAAGCATGAACAGCACCTTTGCTTATCTTACGTTTGCCTTCGGAGCCATTTTATCTACAATGTTCTCGTAAGCATTCTAAAATTATGGCGTCGGCTACAAACAAATGTGCCGGAATGGAAAGTCGCAGAGCTCTCGGAAATAAGATTGACAAACAAACACCCAGCTGTAGAAATACTTTCAAGTTACAAGTTGTCATTATAGGACTTTCAATCTGAGTGTCACTGTCTGATCATTGCGAGCCGCCTTGCTTGATCTCTTCTTGCAGCGTCGCCGTCAGCGAATATAGAAACTAGATAAAAGCTGCTCCAATTGCCATTACTGCTTACATGATAGAGTCTTCCAATTTAGCCAATCTTGTATTAGCCTCTGTACCTTTACCAACAGGTGCAGGTTGCGTAGCAGCCTCAGTTTATTCTTTTTCTCCGCTTTGAGCCGCTTGAGTGGTGGCTTCTGCCTCTTCAACTACGAAGCACATAAGAAGAATGAGAAGTCCGACGACATGGAAAGTTCTTCGCATGGTGAATAAGTCGACCACAAACGCAAACGAATGCGTAAAAAGGAATAACGAATATGGCATTTTCCTACGTTGGGGAGTGGGAAAATTGTCGTCAGGCAACAATGCCTGACAAACATGGAAGAAGGCGGAAGACACAGACATCTGTTTCTTCATGGCATATTTTGACTCTCCTACTATGCGACTTTAAGACGTCGAGTGGCGCCCGCGAAGAGCTCGAAGGGACTCGAGCGCTGAACTTGACACTTACTGTTAGGAAGCCCCTGTACATCGCCAACGTGCTCGTAAACCGTACAGAATCAATACTCTGAAAGTAGTTTATTCCACCTATACAGGACTACTGATCTTTTCACACACTTCGTCAAACTGGGCCAGCATTTGTTCCGCCTGCGTGATGCTTGGTGTTATCAATACGATGTCATCAGCAATGCGAAGGTGGTGTAGCTGCCGGCCGTCGACTTTCACTCCCATGTTGTCCCATTCCAACTTACGCATGACGTTCTCCAGAGCGGCACTGAATAGTTTCGGCGATATAGTATCGCCTTGTCGCACGCCTCTCTTCACGTCAATGATGATGTCCTTGTAGAATGGTGTTATGGTGGTTGCGAAGTCGTTATACAGCTCACGAATTATCTTGATGTAATGAGTCGGAATACCTTGATTGCTCAAGGCATCGATGACGGCTTCAGCTCAATCGAGTCAAAGGCCTTCTTCAAGTAGATGAAGGTGAGACAGAGCGGCATCTTATACTCTCGTGACACTTCAATGAGCCTTGACACCGTGTGTATGTGGTCGATCGTGCTGAATCCTCTTCGAAACCCAGCTTGCTCGCATGGTTGTCCTTCGTCCAACTCTCTTCCGATCCTGTTGAGAATGACTCGCGTAAAGAGTTTGTAGACTACAGACAACAAGCAGATAGGGCGATAATTGCCGATGTCGCAGGGATCTCCCTTCTTGTACAGCAACACGGTTTTGCTGGTCTTCCATTGCCTTGGAACCTTGCCTTCCGTCAGGTACCGCGTGAAGAGCCTTGCCAAAGTCTTGATGAGAACTGGCGAAAGATTCTTCAGATGTTCTGGCTCAATCCTGTCGGGACCGGGTGCTGTACGGTTTTTCATCGGCATGATAGCATGACGAATCTCGGAAGGAAGAACAGACGGTGCGACATACTCGTCCTCCTTGAGATGGCATGGTGGAAGGTGGACGTGGCTCGCAAAAAGATCCGAGTAGAAGTCGTGGATGACCTTCTCCATTGATCTTCGGGAAGCAGTTATGGTTCCGTCAGGACGACGAAGTGCGGTCATCTTTGTCTTGAAGTTGACGGAGCTTCGGCGGGCGTTGCGTATACTTCTTCCAGCCTCCGCGGCGTCAACCATCACTGCTACTCTTCTCTCCTTAAGGTCTTCTTTTATCGCTTCTCTGCATCGCTTCGCAAGCTCGGACGTCAGTCGGTAGTTGCCCGTGGCCCGTGCGCGTCCACGTTGGCGTATCAGCTCCAAAGTCCCCGTGTTGAGACGCCTTCTCGTACTTCTTAGACTCTGAGCTATCTTGGCACAACCGTGGAGATGTTGTACGAACCGTTCGTATTCTTTGTCGATGTTGTCCATCACGGTATCTCGCCATGAGCCGGATATCGAAGAAAACAGATCCCAGTTGGTGGTATTCATGGGACGATGTTTCCTGAACTTGACGGCTCTCTCTCCATTCCGCGGAAAGTAGAATTTGGCGCGCAGGAGACGATGGTGATCCCGTGTAGAACTTCGGAACAACAGCGACGTCCGTCAGGCAGTACCTTCTGTTGACGATGATGTGGTCAATCTCGTTATGGTACTCTCCACCGGGCGATTCCCAGGTCCAGCGTAGGGAAGAGGGCTTTTGGAACTGTGAGTTTCCATGGATAGTCCTCGTCGTCATGATAAACTCGGACAGTCTCTCCCCTTGTTCGTTCCATTGCAAACCATGGGTTCCGATGTGAAGTTCCTCAGTCGATCTTCTAGTTCCGATCTTCGCGTTCAAATCACCGACGATGATCTTGTAGAAGGTATGATCTTCTCTGTAGAGCTTCTCCAAGTCCATATAAAATTCCTCGAGTTCGTCCTCGTCGTAGCTGGATGTTGGGGCGTACGCAATGAAGACGGTCAAGGCAGGGATTGATCCACATCTTGATATTCGCAAACGTCCGATTCGAGTTGTAAGTTGTTCGAACGAATCGATGTTCATGGCCAAACTCGTGTTGACAAGGACTCCCACTCCACCTACTCCTCGACTGTCGCATGTTCCTAGAAACAGTTCTTCTCCAGTCTCAAATGTGGCGTTCAGCGGGTGGTGCCTCCTTGTCTCGGTCAGTCCGATGACGTCGTACTTAATCTTCCTTGCTTGAATGCTCCACGGCTGAATCTAACGAAGACGATGTTCATGAGGAACGGAAGAGTGCCTGATGCTCCTTTCATGCTCAACGGGACGAACATCACCGAATGCTCAAGCTACACCTACCTAGGTCGTGAACTCAATATGATGAACGATCTAGCTCCGGAACTGAGCAGGAGGAAACGTGCAGCATGGGGAGCATATAAGACAATTGAGGACGTAGTGAAGAAGACCAAGGACATCCGGCTCCGCGCCCACCTTTTCAACTCGACGGTTCTTCCTGCTTTGACGCACGCTTCAGAAACATGGACAATGAGAAAGCAGGATGAACACGCGGTTAGCGTCATCGAACGAGCTGTTGAGAGAGTGATGCTAGGAGTGAATCGACTCACGCAAGTGAGGCAAGGATTACGAAGTTCTACCCTACGTCAACGATCGAAGATCAGGGACGCTGCCGCGTACGCCAAGCAGAACAAGATAAGATGGGCCGGGCACGTAATGCGTTTCGACGACAACCGGTGGACGAGAGCTGTAACAGATTGGATACCACTGGACGTCAAACGCGAACGAGGAAGACCGCCGACGCGATGGTCAGATATGTTCACGAAGTTCTCTAATGAAGTCCTTCCGTTCCACGTGTTCCTGGTGCGATACGTAAACATTGGTCAACAATCGCCCGAGACAGGGACGAATGGAGGCATCACTGGTACCCGCTAGTGCAACACGATGATCAACGGGGATACAGGTGATACAGGTGATACAGGACTACGTTATGGTCACGTCGGCATAGGTGGCATTCAGCACCCAATTTTGTCGGCATTTCGATAGATAATACCCACATTCGAAACTGCATTTTAAAACATCCTGTCATTTCGAATACTGGAAAAAGGTCACACCTGCTTGCTTTGAAGTTGCAAAGTAGGAGTTGTCTTAAAGTCGCACAGTAGGAGAGTCAAAATATGCCATGAAGAAACAGATGTCTAAACAGAACAAGACAGCAACACGCAGTGTGGCACCAGATTTGATCTGTATCTGTGTATAAGGACGAAGAACATGTTTGGATCTTGTAAAGACCTATGCGACTTGAAGACATCGCAAACTTTTTTCCCAAATTACTCAGTTAGTCGCCGACGGTAGGCGGCCATGAGATTCTTGGGCAACGGGCACCGGAAAAATAGTTCGCTGATTTCTTGCGGTCCGTTTGCAGAAGTTTGGAAGAATGCTGGCCAACTTTTAGACAATGCTCGGAGAACAATTGCGGTTCTTCCATAGATTAGTTGCGACGCAGTGGCAGTCTTGAGGGCCCAAGGTCCACTCTGGAGGGCCGCACAACTCGCAGGTACGCTCAATTTTCTTGAGAATTAGCAAAACTTCGGGCAGATGAAAACGAAAATAGTGAAAAATTTCGACTGTCATCAAGAGTTAAGAAAATTGTGGTTCGAAAATGTAACAGTCAGAAAGAGAAAAAAACCCTGCCTTGAATCCTTGCTTAAAACTCTCAGTTCTTCACTGAATGAGGTTTTACAGTCATTCAAAGCAGCCGGCAAAAAATAGTTCTAAAAGTTCCTGCCTTTTCTCCGAGACCCAGAATAGCAACAGCTTCGAAATGTGCCCACCTCAAATGTATAAAATTTTGCAGCATAAAGGGCAAGTACGTTTGCAAATGCCGCTGGGCACCCTTGAAGTGACATCGCATTATCAAATGATCGAAATTTCGGTCATTCTAGGTGAAAACTTTCACTTTGCAATCTAGATCAAGAGGTTCGATTAGTACCTAAAGGCAATGTTCGAGTTTTTTAAGCTTTGTTTTTGTTCAATACCCCCATGTTATCAGATAAATAAATAAGGTTACTAGAAGAATTCATCGCTCTATGGTGGCGAAAACAAACACTTGTTTGGGCTAATCGAACTGTTTCCCTAAGATTCTAAGGAGCCAGTCCGCCGATAATCTAGGACTTACGATACACAGCTTTCAATTGGGAGAATTCTGCGCTCATAAGATTTTAATTACTTTTGCAAAAAAAACTTGCATTAATTTCGCATCAACATTTAATACATTCAGATTTGGCCTATTGTTTGGTTTCCGTGTTGCTGTTTTATCAAGCTTACTATTGGGAGACTCGCAAGAATACAACAGAATCTCTTTTGCTGTTACTTCGATATACAAGAATGACCCAATCTATGTCAATGTAAAGTGAGTTGAAATTTTCAAGTAAAGATTTTGAAGGTTTTATATTTTTTGAACAGTGTTGATAAATCACCGGCCGTTACTGCGCCATTGTCTGCGGCACTTAAGAGAAACACAAGTCTGCAAAAGCATAATCTGCTGTAAATCCATAATTGTAGTTTTGTAAATTTGAAGGCAGTGACTCGGCAAAATGTAGATTTGAATTTGCACGCGTGCTTATCCAATACGTTGATCACAAAAATCCATCTTGCGCCAGGACAGCGGACACGAGTAAGTATCTGCCGAGGTCTCATTTAGTTTAGACAAGTAGAACAGTTCCCGCTACGTTGGAGACGCAGAGTCGTTGCGGGACCCTTGGGTCATAACAATGCATCATGTACCAACGTAGGAAAGTGAGAACGCACCAGAACTTAGTTAAGCGCAAGCGAAGCGACTGCGCGCCCCGACTGAAGCGACAGTCTTTCGGCTAGGAGTTATGATGCAGGCTTGAATCGTACTGCTCACAGCGGCAAAATTTCGCTTTCCGGTTTTTCACATTCGTGGAGCGTTTTCGTCATGCTGAACCCATATCTGCGCTTCTGAGCTCAAGGAAATATGTAAAAGTAAAATTACATGTAAGGGGAAGAAAACTTCTGAAGTGGATACTAGACTTGCTCACAGACGCGCTTTTTGCTCCAAGGATAGATTATTTGAAGGGGGGGGGGGGTACTTTTGCAACGCTGTGAAATCAATGCCTATGACAATTTGCCAAGAGCTGCCTTCAATTTAGGAGGAGCGAGCTTTTCCCAAATCACTGCCTCATGGACGAATATCCGTTCCCTTCAAATTGAAAATATAAATATAATGGTATCTTTTGCACGTATTCGATTTTGAAACGATATTGTTGAAGATCCCCTGTCTTTCACTTACAAGACAAAAAAGGGAAAAGCATTGTTTATCAGCATGGAAATTGCGATCTTTTTAGAAAGAAAGAAAATCTTCAGCAACATTTAAACACAGTTTTTGCAAAATCAGCCCCCTCCGCCGCGCCGTTCTCTCCCCCCCCCCCCCTCTCCCCGCGGTGCCAAGGTTGATACTGACCCGGGGCCCCCCTATGGATTTTTTTTCCATGATGCTTGTGGCAGCGGTCCATGTAGGAAAGGGGGTTCCGAGTTTGACGGGTCCATACCAATGCGAAAAGGTGGGGGTCGTTTGATGGTTGGGCGTCCATCTTTGGGCGGTAGGTCGACTGGTTTCCGTTCGCCTTCATTATTCGCTAAAAACCTAAACTTTTTTCTACTGACTAAGTTGAGAAAAGATTTCTTCGCGCATTGGGAGCTGGAATGGCTTGAATTTACCATTTAGTCAAGAAAAAAAAGCGAGAATGGCTGGATTATGTTATTACTATAGGGACCTACAGGATTGCGAGAGTCGGACGTGCGTACGGCCATTGCGCCGCGCACGTCAGATGTGCGTCCGACGACTCAGGTAGGCGCCAGACTTATCGTGTTGAACAGGTTCATTCGGTTCACCACCTTTGTTGGACAGTGTAGTGATTTGACATATGAACCGAACGAACTGAAGCGATAAGTTTGACACCTGCCTTAGTGACATCGGACGTGCGCGGCGCAATGGCCGTACGCACGTTTGACTCTCCCAATTCTGCAGAATCTAATCGACTCGATCAAAACTGCTGCGCGACTTAGAAGGATTAACTTATGTTCGGCTCCCTTTTATATCGTACTAGCTGGCTTACCCGGCTCCGCCGTATCCGGACCAAACTTGGCACACATACACTTCGGGCCCCGGCGGGTGTCACAGTCCACTTTTCGTTATCGATCGATGTCGATTTTACCGATTTTTATCGATTTTTTGGCAGAGTTCACCTTCAGGGCTAGGAGTTGGCACAGGGGGGAAGTGAGCATGGGGATTCCGAATACAATATTAGTTTTCAGAATTATCGATTGCTTTTATTGATTTTATCGATTTTTGGCAGAGTTCACCTACAGGGCTAGGAGTTGGCACAGGGGGGAAGTGAGCATGGGGATTCCGAATACAATATTAGTTTTCAGGATCGTCCATTACTTTTATCGATTTTATCGATCTTTTTGCAAAGTTTGACCTGCGGGGCTGGGAGTTTGCACAGAGGGTAATCGAGCATGCAGATTACGAATACAATATTAGTTTTCAAGATCGTCCATTACTTTTATCGATTTTATCGATTTTTTGAAAATTTGAGCTAGGGGGCTGGAATTTGGCACAGGGGTGTTCGAGCATGCTGATCACCCCCCTTGGGGATAAAATCGATAAAAGTAATCGATAATCCTGAAAACCAATATTGTATTCGGAATCCCCATGCTCGATTACCCCCCTGTGCCAACTCCCAGCCCCGTAGCTCAAACTTTGCAAAAAAATCGATAAAATCGATAAAAGTAATCGATAATCCTGAAAACCAATATTGTATTCGGAATCCCCATGCTCGATTACCCCCCTGTGCCAACTCCCAGCCCCGTAGGTGAACTCAGCAAAAAAATCGATAAAAATCGATAAAATCGATATCGATCGATGACGAAAAGTAGCCTATGACACCCGCCGGGGCCCGTAGTGTATGTGTGCCAAGTTTGGTCCGGATCGGTTCAGAAATGGAATTTTCTATTCGGAACATACGTACACACAGACAGACAGACATACAGACAGACATACAGACAGACAAACAGACATTCAGCTTTATATATAAGATAACGCAGTATAGATAAATCCTGACTACATTGCTTTGAGATAAGGCATCTCTCGCTCCATAAAATGAAAGTGAGTTTTACCGTTGCTGTTTGCACGAAAGAAGCGGTTTGATAGTAATTAATAAATATTCATTTTTTTCAAAATCGATAATTCAGCAGAAGGAGTGGGAATATTGTTGCGAAAGGTAGCTTACGGGATGGACCGCTGTTAAAATATATGTGTGCAGAGTTTGACTTTGATTGGACACATACAAAGATGTACAAATCACACACTAACTAACAAATTACCAACCCTCATTTTCATACATGCATAGATTAACGTCAGAATATGTAAACCGGTGTTATTGGAAGACGGGGGAGGAATAAAAAATACTGGTATAGTTAATAAGAATTATCATTGTTTTTAGTCTAGCCAACTTCAAAGGAATATGAGTCCAGACGTGACCTAAAATCGTTCAAAGTAAGGGTAGACAAACGCTCTATAAAGTACTCGATTTAGAATTTCTTACTCTTTCCAGTGGTTGTGCTTCTACTTTTTATTCCTTTAATGGTCGCTCAAATAATTTTTAAAATCTCCTTCCATAATTTTTACTTACATTTATTTTAACTGTCGCTTAAAATTCTCATTTCTAACTTTTGAAAGAGCTTGATAGCTGTTGAATAGAGTAGACACAGGGCCCGGCACGCGTTGGTTTGGAGGTTTTTAGGAAACGAAGTCCCCCATGATTTCGCGGAAATTTACGAAGTCCCCCTCGACGTGAAAATCAGTAGGGAAACTCTAATTCAACCAAAATAGCAATAAAAAAGCGAAAAAAGGGCATTTTGAGGTATGTAATACAACAAAAAAGCAAAAAGAAAGCATTTCGAGTCGATTAAAGGCTCTGCCATCGGGTATAGTACCATTGATGCTGGGAATGTCGAAAATCTCCTAGGCCAACCAAATCTGTAGCCTCAACAATCCTGCGATGCATTTTTCGCCACATATTTCAAAGGACACCGCAAGTGATTGGAGCGCGATATCTATCAACGCGTAGAATTATAGTACTTTTGACTAGAAAAAAAGGGGAGAGGCAACGGTTTGATCCGCTCTCTTCACTATATGATAGATTTTTGACCGTTCTAATCGTCCAAATCAAAAAGGTCCAAAACTTTTGTGAACTCTCCGATATTTATGCTCCGAACCAACCCAGTTGGTTCGGTGGTTGGTCTAGAAAACCAACAAATTCGAGAACGGATATTAGGACACATAAGTTTCGGGAACTTTTTACATAACATAGTTTGGAGTAATATTGTATACACATAGCCCAAATTCGGAGCCATGTGATTGTTTGTGCGCTGTAAACAAGCCATTTGTTTGTTTGAGTCTTGCATTTGAAATTCGCGCGCTTGCGAAAGAACACGTTCAACTCGTGAAACCGACATGTTTGTCGTGTTTTTTTGGCGCTTCCTCCAGGACCTCATAAAAACGATGTCCTCTTTGCTTCTAACTCCAAAAGACGAAGTCCAGTTTGACCCCAAACCATCGGTGCTGGGCCCTGAGTAGACAGCGGCAAGGCAATGCTTTCTTGGCAATCGTAGCTGGATTTTCAGAATTAGAGGTTCTAGGGTAGGTCTGAAAACGACACGAACTTCCGCACCGACATAACATTTTCGCATGTCGACTCGCTAACCTGGCCGCTTTTGTTTTTGCACTCTCTTAGATAAAGAGAAAAAGGCGTGGTGTGAAGTAAACTTTCGCACTGATTACGAAACGTGGCGAGAAGTAAGACAAAGGGAGGGGGTGCTTTGCTGGCGAAAAGAAAATTAAATGACTGGGAAGGCTCGAAAAAAGCACGTAGGAAGAAGGATTGGACCTTCTTCGGAACGGCGGAAACCCCATGTAACCGATTCTCTTTTTGTTGCTTCGCGTGCGAGTTTTAGAGCAGCAAATCGGTCAACCACAAAGGTACATGACGCAATGAAAATAAATATTGATTAAAAAAAGAAAAGACAGAGATTTAATATCGTTACCAAAAGAGACAGGCTCCAAAGAACTTTCAAAAATGAAACAAAAGAGAGATGAGCATCTAGCCGTCCGGTCTATCCCTGGCTCAAATGCCTGCATATTTATACAAAACGAAAAATAAATCAAATCCTGCCACAAAAAAACTATGAAAAGGATATTGTCTCCGGTTCGCAATATCGGAAATACTAGCTCAAATGCAGGTGGATCTTGACAAGGTACATTTACAAGCATGCAAACACATGCAATTAGGCCTGCGAGTGTTGGGAGCCGCAGGCTCAAGACGATACAATTAATCAAGCTTCGATGGTTACGCTGATTCTGCGGAGTTGCTGCGAAGAGCGCATCCATTGTTGTCGCTTCTGTAGGATGCTAAAGCTCAAAGATCTGACAACAGATAATATTAGGTTAGCAGATAAGTAATGCAATTTTATATATAACTTTTGTCTTTTTGAGCGTAGCGCATTCATTTTTGATTGTTTAAGGATTATGATGTATATTTCGAATGCAGAGATTTTTTGCCGACTTTTGCCATCTTATGCAAGGGTTACCCTAGGTTTACGGCATAATGGGAAATTTTTCAAATTGCTTCAGATTTTGGTAAAACTGGGCCTATGGGGATTATTCGACATGCTTCACAAAAATGAGACCCGTTTTGCATGAAAAGGTCTCTTTCATAAGGTCAAGAAATGAATTTCCATCTAAGCGAAAATGAATATGACATTCGTGTTTACCATATAGGATTACCTATTGTGCAAAATCTTAGCGAATTCTTTTGACTTTTTGCAGCTTAGTTGCTTAATGATAGATGGCCAATTTGACGCATCTGAAAATCAACTTCTCATCATGACTTTTCTCTAAATTTCATTTCTTTATTATTGATTCTATTGTGCCACTTCTAGCCACACGCTGCCCGTAAATGCTTTTGATTTGTTTGACCCAGGTTTTGTACGGCATCATGCCATAAACCGTAAATTCTCGATTTTCTGAAGTTTCCCTACTACCTTATCAGAAACTAAGCGGTTTGCGCAGACGTGCAAATTACATCACAGTCTACACGATGCCAGAGAATGAGAACCACATAAAATAAGAAAAAAGTTGTTGGAAAAGTTGCAAAACTTATGTGCCAACCTAATACATAACAATGTTCTCTCGACGTCATAAAAAACAACCAGTACAATATTTATTCTAGGAAGAGGATTTGGTTGATCACCTTTAGAATTAGTGAGCTTCACGCAGCAGAATTGCTACAGTAACTTTGAGGCAATCAGTCTCTACAAAGTAAGCATATTTAGGGAGGTACTTGCGGAATGCAAAAGTGGAGAAAATGTCTTCCAAGTAACCAAGCTTAATCAACTGCTACCATCAGGAACTCTAATAAAGGTTTGCCATTTTTGTGAAATGCTGATTCGAGCTATTTCGTTCAGATTTTGAACGGATCAGTTGATAGGGACAGTTATAACGCCATCTTCTCAACAGGCTTGGAATCTTTAAGAAATTTTTATGTTCAGCTATCTGAAAAGGCAGACGTATGTGTTTACCAGCATATGACCTCACTAGATCTACATGATTAAAATGAAGACTAGAAAATACAAGTAAATGGCTGAGATAGGTAACTGGAGAGTTTTGGAGAAAAGGGGGAAAATCACCAACTGCAAAGCTTGGCTGCGCTGAAGTGGTGCTCATAGATTGGTTTATGGAAGTACCGCTGACAGTTTATGGCATCTTTTCCTAAGATGGAGCAGAGCATAACAGCTGCAAATTTAGCAAAGTCGCGTCAACCATAATTTAAAAAAAATTATGTAAAATTATGCCTCTCAGCATACTCGGCTCCGCCCGGCATTATTCACACGTCAATTTCAAAAAAAAAACCGAAGTTGGACGGTCTGGCTGAATAGGTCCTAGGCTTTCGTGGGGATTCACCGGTAAGCTCGGCTATCTGATTCTTTGTTTGTCTCACTCATTGCGTGACCGCCGCTGAAATACCCTTTTGTATGTTTCTTTTTCAATTTTGGATTTTCCAATAATGGCATGGAATAAATAAATTACTATACTACAGCATGAACTATGTTAATTTCCCTGACACACTGCGTTAGCTGTGCTCCCTTCTTACGCATAATTCAGTTTCGTCGGACTACAAAATGGTACCATAGAGGACAAAAATATAAATTTATACAAAAATCATCGTCGTCAATCTAAAATACATGTACAATGCTAGTTTTCACGTCCACCAGTCGAGACTCAAAATACTCTCGTTTTCTTTTCTCTTCGGAACGGGTTTGACCTTGACCTTCGCTGATTCTCTTTTTACGATATCTGCCATCATTCGAATGACCTCTTTCGATGTTTTGTCATCGTTCTTCTCCTGTTGAGGCAGCAATTTTGCTTTCGATGTCGGCTTCATCGTTAAATCGTATCTGGAAGAGGCCCATTTTCACCAGCGCTTTCACTTTTGTCTTAACTTCCTCTGCGGGCCTCGGAGGTGGTCTTTATCCGTAGATGTAATCTTTAGAAAGCTTTTCTTGAAAGCTCACTTTTCGGGACGACGGGAAGTGCTTCCTGTCCCTGGTGCTTTGGCATTCGTTCGGCACTTGCTTGGAAGCATTCATCGCTTTCAAAAGGTTTCTTCTTCAACAACAAAGAATTTGCCATAAGCTGTGAGGTAAGCAATCACCTTTAACAACTCTCTCTTCAATTGCCGCGTCGTTCCCAACGCTAAACCGAACTGAGCTCTACTGTTGTTAGTCAGACGAAATTGAGAAAGGAATTGAGGATTTTTCCTTGCAAAGTGAAAATTAGCAGATCAATAGAATGACTCAGCGAATCGCTATAAAGAGAACCTAAGAACACCGCCTGGTTTCATGAAATATGTGTGAAAAAATTGGCTCATCGGTTTTAGAGCGGAGGCTATGACGAACTTATTAACAGAGTCACAGACTCTGACTTTATGTATGAAGAGACAATACGTAAACGCTAAAAAGGATTCAATATGACGATCAAGCCAGAAAAACGGCATTTGCATCTTAACAATTTTAATATTGTTTGGCTGCAACAAAACCATCAAAAATTTTATCATTTACTCCACAGGTACAATGTGCGAGCCTAAAGTACAGAAGTACAGCGAAAAATCAAAATCAAACTTATAGTTAGAAGAATTTTCTAAGGCTGCCCGAGGGGCATTGCGAGTTCAAAGCGAGAGTGCCAATCAAAAAAAATCTTTGAATGAACAGATTTTCTACCTTCAGGGTCTACTTGCCAAGCGCTATACATCCAACACTTTCCTATTGTTCGTTAATCATCGAATTCTGTTCGATGATTAACGAACATAAACGTTAATTATCGAATTCAAATTCTCTCTTCAATTTTATTCTCTGGAATCTCAAAGGGAACGCTTCTCAACTTTCTTCTTTTGCTTCACCGCAGCGGAAGATCACAGTGTTTTGCAAATTAAATTGTCTCAAAATATTCTGTCCCTTCCAGTAGGTTCCGCTTCTGTTCAGAACCTCTCCTAGTATGAAGTTATAGGCCTCGGGCAGAGTTCACGCGATTTGGTCTTCGCGATTGATCGCGACAAGACAACTGTAACAATATCATTGCATGCCGATCTTCTTGCATTTCGGTTGTGATAGTCTTTCAATACGACTAATTGTGACTAAATATCACAAGCGAAATAAAAGAAGATCGGCATGCAACGAACTTACAACATTTGCCCAAGACCATAGACAAAAGTTGCCTCATTCATCACTATTACATTATCTTAACATCAAAAATTAGACTTCATAGTTTTAGATCACCAGGGCGTCTCTGACAAAACGCGACTTGCGAAAATACGACAATTTCAAGAAAGGTGGGACATCTTGTTGTTTGCATTGAACATGTAGTGTACGTTTTTGCCGCGTTATACTTGTTGAAGTCGTTGCTTACTGTTATCAAAAGTGCTGAAGGTCTTTTAAATGCTTGGTATTCAGATGATCGTAGTAAGTGTGAAAGCATCTTAATTTTAGGTGCATAAGCGCATCCCCATAAAAGCAAATCTGAGAGTATTGCCGCACCTGTGCTTAGCAAAGCTGTCAAATTCTTGCAGCGTAGAAATTCCCACTGGAAAACCGTGGCATTTTTGTCTCTAGAGAAATCAAGGCGCGAATTAAGTTCCGCATGCACTTATATCCCGACAAGGGAGGAGCTGAGAAGGCAAGCGCGTTATACGTTTCTGCTTTAAGATGTTTGTATCCTTCTCTGTACATCCATCTCAAAAAAACTCCCATATCCTCCAAAATGCCTTCAGATCAGAGCCTTGATAACGTTCGAAATACATGTATTGCCCTTATGCAGTATAGATCTGTTCCGTCTTTTACCGTCGAATGGATCTGAGCTTTTTGAGTATAATAATACTCTTATTTATTACCTTTTATGCAGTGTGGCTAGGTTGGTCTATGCTTTTAATCATTTTTTTTTGGTGCACATCGAGTGTCATAGATAAAGATAAAGATAAAGATACCCCTGATATTAAGCTTATGTGTTAGGACATTGCAATACAAGCTGAGAATTTTACTGTTTTGGGTGACCTTCTCGGGGATCCCTAAAAAAGATTAGTTGTTTTCAAAGTGTTTATCATTACGTCGAAAAAAAATGTCATATATTGCAATCAAATAATGTCAAACAGGCTAAGCAGGGCCATAGCGAATCCTCACTACAACTTGACTATGTTTCATCGAAATAAGGTACAATGACTCAAAGGCTAACTCTTTAGATTTTCCCAGTAGTCACAAAAAGCAAAATTCCCAGCGATGTCCTGTCATCCATTAATATTTTCTCAGGGTGTTACCTTCATAAGAAGTAATAGAAAGTTCTCCCAGCGGGAATGTACGTGCATTCAAGTTCTAGGACAACTCTGACGGCCGCATGCATTTCCCCGCCGCGGGGGGGGGGATCGCAGCCTAAAAGAAAGCTTATTTTGAATTTCCAGATATCTAGTTTTCACGTCTTCTACCTACCCGTAAGTATCCTCAACGTTTTTCACTATGAACATATTGAGCAGGAGCAAGAACCTGTATAATCCGCGTTTTCCAGCTTACTGAATGATCTCCCTTTGAACCCCTCCCGCCAATCGTTTTCTTCAAAGCCATTTTTCTTTCTTTGGAGTCAACGAAACTTTCTGAAGTTCTACCGATTATCTAACCCAGCAGCGCTAAGCATATTGCTGATAAAAACAATTGATGTTTTGGAGTCATGAAATTTGCGATGAACAACAAGTCGAAAGTTGGGGTTTATCGAATTTGATAATCCAAAAACACATTTCTTATTATCAGCAACATGCTTAGCACTATTGTGTTAGATGATCAGTAAAACTTTAGCACGTTTTCATTAATTTTGAAGAAAAAAAAATGACTTCAAAGAAAAGACGGTCGCCCGCCGGGGATCATTAGGGGATCACACAAAAGCTGGGGATGCGGCTCGTACAACTTCTCGCTCCTGTTCTGTACGTTCGTGTACGTTCGTAGTGAAGCAGGGTGGGAATACTTGCTGGTAGGTATAAGCGTGAAATACAGATACCTGGAGCTTCAGAATATGACGCTTTCTTTTGAGCTGCGATCCCTTCCCGGCGGTGATGTTAGTGCATGCGGCCCTAAGTGTTATAAGAATTAGCCAAAAGCAGTTCTAGCATAGTTCATTTACGACTTCCCCATAAAATCGCAAACTATCTTCGCTAAATTCTTCTAAGGAAAGCCTCTGATTCGGTGTGCTGATTTGCGTTATCCGGTTACACTGATGCAATCATTTTACATTTCGCAAAAAGTTTTTGCGTCACAAAGGTTAAGGTAAAACTCTTTTCAGTCTAACAAATAATCACTTGTATGTGGAAACGAGGCACGTTGAATTGAATTGAACTTACTTGATTGCAGAGGTAAACGATGTTATGAAAAAATACGAAAATGCCTTGAAACAGCTGGCTACTGCTGCAAAATCTGTTGAAGTTAAGGTAAAGATTTCATTGAGATCAAAATTACAACGAAGGCAATGAATGTGATAATAATGTAATAATATGCCATCTAGGTAGCAGCACTGAAGGCTAAACAAAAGAGCAACGTAGAATCGATCACGACGAACCTTGATAATTTCATCAAAGCGATGGTAGCACTTCATGTCAACATCATGGTATTTCTTCATCTGCTTGAATGTTTCTTATCACGTGTGGAAACAACTTTTTTACACTGTCTATTTCTAACAGGGAATGCGTCCCCTGTCAAAGCGGCCGTTCGAGGCTTGTTGTATGTTGCTGAATCACTGTGATGAATGTTTTTAAAAAAACATTAAAATATCTTATTGATAAAGGGTGAAGTAACAAAAATGCAAACGAGACGCTAGTCAAGGGATTTGAAAATGCAACCTTTCATGCAATAAACGACTATTCTATTATGATAGCACGTCTTGCAGCCTATCCCGTGTGCCCCAGAAAAGTTCCCATGTGAACCAGCGTGCGTACGTGGTGCGACGCTGCCTTTCGCTCTTTTGGACACGTTCTTCCTGACATTTCAACGGAACTGCCCAAGGTTAATACGTTCAAAAGAACGAAAGGCAGGAAGATGACATGGTACTTATGGTAATCTTGCTGGGGAATTAACGATACACTAAGGGCCGCATGCACTAACATCCCCGCGGGAGGAGATCGCAGCTTAAAAAAAGCTTTATATTTCGAAACTCCAGATACCTGGATTTCACATTGTGTATCTGTCCGTAAGTATTCCTGCTACCCTTCACTACGAACATGTCGAACAGGAGCGAGAAGCTGTACGAACCGCATTTTCCAGCTTTTGTATGATCCCTGATGATCCCCGGCGCCTTTTTTTGAAGTCATTTTTCTTTTCTCCGAAGTTAACGATAAACTTCCAAAGTTATGCAGATTATCTAATCCAACAGTGCTAACCATGTTGCTAATAAGAACAAATGATGTTTTAAAGTCATGAAATTTTCGATGATCCACAGGCCGAAATTTGAAGTTTACCGAAAGATTCGAGTTTTCAAAAATGTTCTCATCAGCAACATGCTTAGCACTGTTGTGTCAGATGTTCAGTACAACTTTGGAGAGTTTTCGTTAACTTTGGAGAAAGAAAAATGACTTCAAAGAAAAGCGCCGGAGATCATCAGGGATCATACAAAAGCTGGAAAATGCGGTTCGTACAACTTCTCGCTCCTGTTCGACATGTTCATAGTGAAGGGCAGCAGGAATACTTACGGATAGGTACACAGTGTGAAATCCAGGTACCTGGAGGTGCTTTTAAGCTGCGATCCCCTCCCCAGCGGGGGTTAGTGCATGCGGCCCTAAGTATTGTGTTATGGTCAAACTTGTGAGTTGGAGCGTTCCGCAGATGAGGTTGCGGTTTTGAGATTGACATGTAGTGACTTCAGCAACATATAGCTCATCTCGAATGGCCAGGATACGCAAAACGTAACCTTTGATTCAACTGGCGCTTTGGTGGGTACCAAGTGATTGGGGGGTAGACGAGTTGTGGAATAGGTTTATTCGCACGGGCGTAGATTATTTGAGAAGAAGTCGAGGTGCCCCGGTGTGGACCGGGGAGCAACCTTTAATACATTCGGTGAAGGCGGAGCTGAATCGAGTACAGGGTACAATGTACACGAGTTGGTGCTTGAAAGGAGATGCCGCCGATTGGCTACACTCCTGGCGCACGGGTACCACTCACTCTTGTGTGATTAGATACTCAAGAGTGAGTAGCTCACAATTTAGCCTACGGAGATTCCGTAGGCTATCTAAAACATAGAGTTCATTGGTTGATGATACAAAATCATCAACAGGCGCTTTGCGCCCGGGCGGGACTTTGTGACCCAATTAATGCCGCCCGCACCTGCGACGCAGCTGCGTCTCTCCCGCGCGCGTGCTCTCCGATCGTTACCTAGCCTTAATTAAGGAAGCCCGACTTCAAGGGGCGCCAAGCCAGTTGAATCAAAGGATACATGGTGCTAAAGATTTAGTGGCTTGTTTGTGCTGAACGTTTAGGACTTCATTCGTTTGGTGCACCGTGCTTATCACATTACCTCATTTTACTTCATTCGCCCATAATTTTGCTTGGCTAAAAACAAAATTTTGCTTTTTTAACTTCCTTAACTTTTAACCGCATGCATCTACATCCTCGCTGGGGAGGGGTCGCAGGATAGAAGAAAGCTTCATACGCTAAAACTTATTTGGATTTCATGCCGTCTGATTATTTTCAAGTGCGTTATTACCTTCTACTGTAAATACAATGAACCGGAGCGAAGAATTATAATTGACGCATTTTCAAGCTTTTTGTATAAATTCCTGACGATTTCCGGCGACCTATCGTCTTTTCTTCTAATCTATTTTTTTCTTTGACTATTGAAAGCATAGAGATATGCCAATTACCTAACTTGACAGTGCTTACATATTTCTTATAAGAACAAATGATTTACTGGGATATTAAGATTTTTGATGAACCTCGCGTTCCGACTCTGATTCATCGAGATTTTCATTGCTTTATTACATCATATAATCTTGTCGAAAACATGCTTGATCTGTTGGGTTAGATTATCGGTACAACTCTGAGATTTTTTTCATTAATGAAGAAAAAAGGACTTTGAAGGAAAAAGGCTAAGCCAAAGTAGATCACCGGGGAATCACACAAAAAGCTGGAGAGTGAGATACAATATGTTTGATATTCGTGGTATAGAGTAGTTGCACTAATCGAAAATGGCTAAATGATATAAAATTCAGCACGCCGTCCAGAATCTGAAGCTTTCTTTTGGGCTACGATCCGCTCCCCGGCGAGGATGTTTATGCATGAGGCACTTGAGAACACAAGCAAACCTCACGAGATTGTGGTCGCGACGCGATTTGGCTCTGCAGCGATTCTTCATAATTGGCTATAAGCGAACTCGCTTGAGCACCATCAAAGCGTTTGTGACAAACTACAAAATGTAGGCGCTTAGGTGTGTGTGAATATTCTCATCTGGCCAATCGCCAATCGTCGCCAATCGTCAACCGTACTTTTGTAGCGGTTTAAGTGAATCGCTACAGAAATATCGATTGCAAAGCTATGGTTTGGCACGCTAAGACAAATGACGAATCGATTGTTGGGTGATGAATTTTGAAGCAGACGAAGAGGGTGAGGGAGAGTAGATGGCGCCTGATTTTGCTCTGCTGATCCTTATACTGTCTAAGATATGCGCACATCAATCATATTGGGTCTCCATGGCTAATGTTGTATTTACCTTCCTTATTTACATTACCCTCCCGGAAAATATACGAATTTTGCTACAACAGCCATGTCTAATTTTTGCACTCGGAATGAAGACCGGATAGTCCATCAATATTCATTCGCGCGCATTTTACATCAAAATCTCAAATCTACTTCTGTTTACAAGGCAATGGTCAGAAGTCGAAGTGGTCAATCCATACAAGCTGCATACCATTAGATGCAGCATAAAACGCTGACTCTAAATCTGTCTTCCTTATGTGCAGAGCGCTTTGAACAAAATTATAAGCCGTTGAAGGCCATTATTTTGCTAAGAAATTGTGCGCGTAAGGTGCAAACTTGGCGTACAAAGCCATTCTCGGCTCAGTGTTGAACCAAAACCTACAACTAGGTCACTACAGTGGCCCATACCTAAAGGTGACCTGAAAGAGCAATAATGTGTCTAATCTCCAATTTTTGTATGCGATTTTTTCGCAGTAAAGCTGCTCATAACTTTGCATATAAGGGCGCTCTGCAGATAAGGAAGACAGACTTGGGCATTCTATGTGCATCCAATGGTATGCAGATTGTATGGATTGACCACTTTGACTTCTGACCATTCCCTTGTTAGCTAAAAGCCTGACCACATCCAGTAAAGATGACGACTGCAAGAGGTACTCTTATTGCAGCTTGCAGCATTGTTCCGGCAGTTTGTATATATTCAATTTTTCATTTTGATTTTGTCATACGAACCAGAATAAATCCATTCAATTTGTACATTTCAAATTTATTCAAATGCGTTTAGAATCAAAAGCTTTGGCAAAACCTCAAAGCACTTCCAAATCACAGCACTGGCACTAGTATAAAGATGCTGGAAATAGGAACGTACTCCTGCAATGTTCACACTCAACCAAGAGCACTGTTGAGCAATAACTTTTACAATGAGAAATTGGGAGCGTAGTCTTGATTACAATTTCGATTAGCTGTGAATTTCCAAATTTCGCGCACGATATATTTGGCTAGTTTTAAGGTATGACAAATCAGCTGTTTGCATTGATAGGTAATTGAGAAAACCTCAAAAATTCCGGAACAATATGTAGCAAGCTGACTAACTGACTAAGCTTTAAAAAAGCACTCTCAAAAAGAGAAAAGTCAAGTGAAAAAGTATGGATCATTTGCTTACGAAAAAATGCAAGTTTTTAACGGCTTCCTCAAATCTGCGACAGCAGGTGTTTTGTAAAGGGTCAGTCGGCTTTTTACCCAAATCAGAATAAGAAGCGAAACCTATTCTTGTAAACAGCGCAAGTATTCGCCGAGTTGGCTGCCGGCATCATCCGATCAGACAGTTTATGCTTGCAACCCGATATACCCGATTCATCGTAAAACATAGAGTGATGAGACTGCAGTGAATACGGCTCGTTTGATTGCAGCAAGGTAATATTTGCATTTAGGCGGAAGTAAGCAAAAGAGCGGGTAAATGCGCTATTGACGATAACTACCGACGGAAAGTTCACAAATACTGGGAGGCTTACATCTCAGATCCTGTTCAAGGGCAATGGTTACATTGCTGTGAGTTTTTAACTTACGAGAACGTTGCTTATCTGCGATTGCAGAGAACTTGCTTATGCAGTCAAATTACTACGCAGGGTGCCCCAAAGAAGAAAGCAAGCCAAGCAAACTGGAAACTAATACACCAAGCTAATCAAAGGCGCTGATCTGAATATAAAGTTTGCATTTTATCGTAATGCTTGCTTTGCATGCCCTAAAAAACGTTCTTTCGTGTAATGCAATCCATTCGAAAAGCCTTGAAACCATGGAAAAAGTTAAGTAGTAGAAACAGCTGGCGTGACCCTAGTACACAACTTTTCAGGTCCTTTCAAAAATGTTTATCGTCACTATCATCTTCATCTCTTTCAGACAACATTGGGACCATAACTTTTCTAGGATTTCTGGAATTTTGCAGCCTATTCATGCCTTCATAGGAATTCATTCCGGCTTTGCGTCCTCTCATCATTATTTTGCGACACCTGCTAAGTAACGACGATAATGAATCTTGAATGACTACAAAATTTGCGCGTAAACAATGGCGTTGTGCATTTTGCGGCTAGTTTTTGGTTTCACTGGAAAAACCGTGTGTTTTCACGTATCGTTCATTCGTTGACCGTACGGACTGCCGACCGCGTGGCGACTGCGACGCGTGCCTTCTAAACTTGCGAAAAAGTGACAAGTTGGACCGTGGCTTAAGATGAGAAGAATTCTTTGTTTCTTTTCTACATTATAAAGATGAGAAGAATCCTCTGTTTTCTTTCTATTCATCTTTCCTACGAAAACATCATGCACGCGCAGCGGTCGCCGCGCGGTCAGCAGTCGTTACGGTCAACGAATAAACGATAAATGTCAACGTTACCACATGCCATAATATCATTTTGTAACGGTAAATTAACCTTTTCTCTAAAATACATTCCAAAAAGAGAGAAAGGAAGCATTTTTCTAAGGCAACTGGTTACAGCTAAGAAAATAACAAAGATAACACAGCGCCGTGTTCCGAAAAAGTTCGTACCTCTTTTCTTGTTATTTCAGTTATTGCTGTCATATTTTCGATCATTGCCGCTATTGGTTTGCTGTCATCAGTACAATATCTGAAAAACTACGAAACCGACGACTATGAAGAGTTTACACCACTGGACAAAACTGCAAGCACCGTAAGTACTTTTCAATTTGCAAGCGAGCGTCTCCATATCACCATTATGGATAACGCATTTTGCCTCAAGCTGTCACTATGAAAAGTGTAGTCCGGCTTCTCGGGGGATGGGCGGTTTCAAAAATATTTCGGAGTACGTGGCTAACGCCACGCACCTTTTTTATAGGAAAGCTTTCGTCCCCCTCCCCTTCCAATATATTCAGAACGTTATTACATCTGAACACATACAACTTCTAAACAACGTTGGAACGGAGTTAAAGCATGTGATCCGACTGTCGCTACGGGAGTCGTAAAGGGGGCAACCAAGGTGGAGGCGGGTCGTAAGAGGAGGGAATTTGTATAAAATCCTTGAGCTCAGAAGAAAGTCGAATAGCACATGATCAAATAGGTCGATATAGACTACAACAGACAGCTTGTCGAAGCCATCAATCAGTCCCTGTACGTCATTTTGATAAAAAGAACAATTTCAAAAGCTCAAACATTTTTGCAGGCATGTATATGTGACAAAGATGTTGAATGTACCATTTGGCCTAGAAATCCTGCTTTCGAAGCATTACTAAATTGCACATATTTGGCAAAAGCGACTATCGTTACCAAAGATGACTTTTGATAATTTCAAAATTTTCAAATTTTCTTTTTTATTGCTATTTATGTGCCCATACAACCTAGCTGCACTGCTACCTCTATGCAAAATCTGGTCTCATTCGGTGACCTGTAAATTTTCTTATAATTTTATGTATGGCAACAAGAATGAAAGGGGGGAATTGTATTTGGGTCGCACCTAAATTTTTTCGGAGCTCTGGAAGTATGTTCGCTGCGATTTTGGTGTATTACGACAATACGTATAGGGCTTATCAAATTGAGTGTCGTTTGCACCGGCATCTCTATCTTCGCGCTGGACTCTGCGTCTCTTCTGCAGGGCTGCTCTCTGAGCACTTTCCCAGGGCGAGCGTGGGATAGGCGGAGCATCAATCGATTGGAAGTAATTAAGGAGCATGTACCGCAGAGGAGACGCAGAGCCCCGCGCGAAGATGGAGATGCTGGTGCAAACGACACTGAATTTGATAAGCCCTATACTATCGTGACAGTGGCGTACCCAGGATTTCCGCTCGGGTGGGGCGCGACAAAAATTTTTTTCGAATGAAGGTGCGTGGCGTTAGCCACGCACTCCGAAACATTTTTAGGGGTGCTTCTCAAAATTTTTGCGGGTCCCCAACTCTACTGGAAAAAGGGGGCGTGGCGTCAGCCACGCCCCCGAAAAAATTTTTTTACAAGGCTAATTTGAATTTTTAAAAATTTTTAAAAATTATTTTAATTATTTACAATTGTAAACAAGTCATTTGCACATTTTTATAACCCTTATAAGTAACTTTCAAAAATTTCGCGACCCATTCTGGGGGGGGGCGCCCCCCCCCGCCCCCCCCCCCCCCCCACCCCCCTCGGTACGCCACTGTATCGTGAGTATTTCGAACTATTTCGTTGCGTCTCTAGTGTGTTACAAAATTTTGAGCTTTTTGAAAACAAAATTTTGGGTAAGGTCTATTGGCATTCTTAGAGGTAATCTAACTTTTGATTTAACTTCTTTTGAGGTGTTTGAAATCATGGAAATGAGGTGGGAGGGTGAGAGAGGGTCGTATGGATGGGTAGCTTAGGGGGCGAGGGGGGGAGGTCGTAAAAGAGGGCCCGGATTGCATCAACACGCTTGACCCTGCTTTAGCAGCACTTCCCGCATTTTTATGCAGGACTGCAATTTCTGATAATATTAACCCATTGACGACGACGTGGACCACCGATGGCGCACGCGCTTTTTGCTGTCAGGAACGATGTGGACCCCCAGTAACCCACACCTCTTGCAAAGTCGTATTATTCGTAGGGGTCTAGTATTTTTTACATACATACATCATTATTTTTTTTCAATTTTTTGTATTATTGGGACCTGTAGGCTACGTGTTTGAGAAAGTGTTAATAGTTGTTGACAAAACAACGTTGCATTTCATAAATACGCACAAAACCTTCCCACACTGGAAGTGTTGTGCAAAATCGCGTCGTCCCACAGCGCTGCCACGCAAAAGTAGGCGTTGTCGTCAATGGGTTAGTATTTGAGGGCTTGCAAAAACTGTTATAAGTGCTGAACGAACCAGCACCATGCTCAGTTATCAAATACTGCAACAACAAATTCAATTTACCAATGTCAGAAATTCAGCAGGTCGAATTGAAAAGTGTTTTTAATTCGTAATTTGGAAGTGATTGTTGTACCGTTACACTTGTCCTGGAAGGCTGATTTCAAATCTGACTTTGTTTCTGTTATCGTTTTTCTGGAAGAAGTTCTGAAGGTTTTTTGAGCCAAATTCGGCTATGAAAAATATCGGAATGCCAATTCACAAGTAAGCTGTGGTGTTGTGGTTAGTGCGATAGCCTCCCAAGTTGACGCGGATGTAGGTTCGAACCCTTTTGTGTTTTTCAGTTCTGCATTGCTTCAATCAAGCTTCTTTTAGAATTTAGGCATTCTCGAGGTTAATGCATGCCCTTACTCTTTCAAAATTCAACGGGGAGTCATTTTTAGATGATTGTTTCCCATATTTATTTCCTTGGGCGGCCGAAATTGGTTCAATCCTTCATAACTTTCAAAAACGATTAGCGGAAATGAAAGTGAGATTGCATTTAGCGCTCCAAGGCAAGTGTAAGGTGTACATTTCATCTCAAAAGCCCACCGACACTGAGTATCGTTCCCTTGTCAAAGGAAAAGTTGGGAGGGGAGAAAAAAAAGATAAACAGACTATGTGATTTAGACATTTGCCAATGTTATTCTATAGATTATCTGGCTATTTCAAATCTAAAACAGTATACGTTTAATTTTAAATTATGAAAGGAAGTACATCCGCCTAATTTTCAAAGCTTATTTCACTATGTTCAGATAAGGCATGCATCCGGCTACAACGAGGAAGTGAGTGTGGAACCATCGAAGATGGCTCCAGACACTAGTATGGAAAAGACGGTACCAGCTGCAGCAAGATGAGAACGACTTGATTTTATCCAGTAGATATAAAAGGAAACTGTCCATCTTTCTATAAATAAAATTGATTAAGTTCAGCTTTGAATCCTCAAACATGCATAACCGAACAGCAATGCTACATTACACTCTGAAACGTTCTAATCAACCGATCACTCATTAGCTTCCGCAGACTCTAAAAGTCGTTAACTAGATCACAGTGTCGTTGTGGTGGTGGTTAAGCAGCTCGAGTAAAATATGTGCTAACTTTGATGTGAGTTCTGCGGCAAAAATTTTCAATTTGCCGTTTCTCCTGAGTAATTTCGATTTACTCACAGAGCTCTGTGAATTTTTATTGTTTTTTTTTGGAAAATAAACATATATACAAAGCACTATGATTACCGCTATCTTATGTTTAAGTAATCTATCTCGAAGAAGAATTGAGAGATGAGTCTTCTCAATATGATTACCTCAAACAAATGATTACGGATCTCATTATAATAATGCATAACAACCTGCATAACGTAGTGCATAAGTGGAGGAAGTCAAAAATAAAACGTTTGAGTGTAGCCCAATGATGTGAGACTATCTGATTTGTGATTCTCACTGTCGGAATTTTTTTGATAATGACCATCGGCGACTTCAATCTTCCTGGTAACAGTGATAACGGCGAGATTTTTTGACAGTGCTTTCAAATGCTGATAATGAGATGCACGCTTCGGACAAGGACAATATATAGCATCAAAACCAACTGAACCGGGTTCACCGGCAATCCCAGGTTCTCCATCTAACCCAGGGACACCCGGCTTTCCTGGCTGTCCTGCTGGTCCAGGGGGGCCGGGAAAAGCAGACCAGCCAAAATCGCCTGTTCTTCCAGGTGCTCCAGGAGGTCCTGCAGGTCCGGGTGGACCAGCGGGACCTGGGGTACCAACGCCTCTTTGTCCGCGAGTGCCTGGTGCGCCATCTGTTCCAGGACTTCCCATAACGCCTTCGACACCCGCATCTCCTTCAACTCCTTGCAGACCAGGTAAACCCGGAGCTCCTTCGTTGCCGTTTAAGCCCTGTGCGCCATCTCGTCCCGGCGCCCCAGGAAGTCCGTCAATTCCAGGAAGTCCTGGAGGACCAGCCGGACATTGAACACAGCTGCTAGACAGGAATCCAAAATGGACCACAATTCCATCTCGGCCGCGCTTGCCTTTCATACCTCTCATACCAGGCACTCCGGGACTGCCCTGTTTTCCAGGTGGACCGGGTGGCCCTGGTGGACAGCTCAACTTGTTCATCATCTGGCAAGGACAGTTGTGGCCATAACTTCTTTTTGATATCTGTCGCTTCTTTCGCACCTCTTGATGCGATAGCTCCATCGTCGACCATGCATCATCTGCCATCTCCTATAATCAAATAGATAGCATTGGTACCACTGTATTCAGTATATTGAGTTGTAACAGAATTAGTGCAGGTTTTTATCAGACCTTTCTAGAATGCTAATTCAGGACGGAAGACCATCTTTTTAAAGAGTTTTAACATCATATAACGCTTTTTTCTTCTAATTTCATAACCATTCTTTCGTTCTGATGGAAGTGGATTCGTTTGGAAATTAATTTCGGTGCCCGTGAGTTTGAGAGATCAAATCTTGAAAATCTTTTCTTTGGTACTCTTGGCTTTGAAGTCACCATAAAAGTCGGAAATTTCTGCAAATTTACATAGTGTTTTCAGTGAGCTGTGCTACAGAATGCATACTAGATCTGACTCTTTTACATGTCTCTGAGCCGATAAATTCCAAAGCAAATCTCAACGTTCTTTGCGATCCGTCTACCCTTTATAAAAATCTTTAACGCAAAACGATTGCGGAGCTTCTGCTGTATAAAGAAAGAGCGTACTTAGGACATATATATCGCTGATAAAACATGGAAGCCGTTTTTCCTTTTCATCTTCAAAAAAAAAATCAAAGTTCCAAAACAGTTTTCATGTCTCCAGAGAAAAATTGAGTACTCTCAGGGCCCTGCACGAGGTGGGCAAATGACAGGCTAGAAATCGTTTTGGGTGAGAAAAAGGCGAAGGGGAAGTCGTTTTTGCGTGGTCCAGGGCAAAGCTCCGAAAAAAGTTAATAGTTCATGCTCTCTGCTATCTTAACATTTTATGTGCCTTTACAGGCGAACACTGGAGTTCGCGCGCGTCAAACCGCGTCGTCGCTAATTGCCGCACGCGCGACGTCGCTCAAACGATGCTATCTGTAACAGCATATATGATTAGTTCTCAATACATGCATAACTATATGGCACGAAATTTCGTGGGCGAACGGAGAGAGGCTAGTGGAAACAAAGTATGAAAAATCATGAAAAAGTTATGTGAACGGGTAATAAGCATTTTTTCCAAAAATTTTGCAAAACTGGTAAATGAAGATGTGAATTCAAATGGCTCGTCTGCAACGCATAAATGACGAAATGGTATGAAACTTGGTACGTACATGCACACGAGCCTGCAAGGCTTAATTGGGGAGTTCCATTGAAAAATTATGTGACTGAAGGTTGTGGCAATCTTTTTTCTGAGATTTTCCCACTATCAAGAAAATGGAAAAATGGCTCGTTTGCAGCGCAGAGAAAACAAAATCGCGCGAGACTTGGTGGTTATATGCGTAGTAGGGCTGAGGAACAATGTATGAAAAATCATGAAAAAAATCATGAAAAACTTATGTGAATGAAGAGCGTGCCCAACTTTTTTTCAAATTAGCTGGGCAATTGCCCACCTAATGCGCACCTGAGGTGGGCAAAACGTTCAAATTCACAAAATTTTTTCAAAATTTTTACATAAATCTCTTCTACGCCTGAAGTTTATTCTATGGTAGAATTTTGCTTTCAAATTTCCCCCTCTCCTCTTTACTATAGTCAAAATTGGATCAGCGGCACCCTTTCTTACTGAGGAAAGCGCGCCCCAATCGACCGATATGCGCGGGAACGGCGTCACTTAGTCTTGTAACAAGTTTCACATCTTTTTCCTTGCATTATCTTGTAAGATAGGTATTTTAACGTCGTTTTTTTTTGGTTTTGATGTTTTGTTTTCTTTTTAAATGTCAGTTGATAGTTTTTTGGTAAAGTATTTAGCACCGCAGGCATCGCCCAAAAGCGCTCGAAAGCGCCCAAACTTTTTGATCTCTCTTCATATCTCATCCCTCTTAACATACTTTCCGCTTGCATGTTATCTGGTGGCCTTTAAGCTAGCGTGGACGTGTGAAGTGAGGAAGGTAAAGAGAGAATCGAATAATTCCAGCGCTTTTGGGCGCTTTTGAACAACGTCAAAATAGGTGCAACGCAGACCGGTGCCTGCGTTGCACAAGCACAACTCATTTTTGAACTCAAAGACGTATTCGTAAAAAAACTTGGGGTCAAAGGGGAATTCGTTTTGAAAAACCCTTTTTGCCCACCGCGTGCCGGGCCTTGAGTACTCTCCGACTTTTTCAAACATCTTCTCACAAAGAATTCTTCGTAAAATCAAGAGCACAACCGAATAGGCCACACATTATGTAATGTCTGCGCTTTCTTACTAAATCTGAAAGTAAGTTGTGGTCTCTCAACGGGAAGGTCGTACAATTACCTGGCAGTGTTCGGGATACAAATTTTTCTGCTGAAGCTACAACAACACAATATTGCATACTGAGTTGCCCAATGTTTGTTTATCGCAACAGTATTTTTGCCACAAAAAGAATATCTGTATAAGAAGTTATAATAATTTTAGTTCAAAATCCAAAAACCTGCATTAATTTTGTTACCGAATATTATTTAAGAAACCGTAATACGGTCACACTTCCTCAGGCAGCTCACGGAAACTTTCGAGGAGAAACCAATTTTCCAAATATCCCTAAGTTCAATTAGCATTGAGGTAGTTGGAGGTGCAAACAGGAACCTTTCGAGGACGATGACGTCAAGAGCAACGCACCAAGGTTTTGTTGAGTCCTCGGAAATTGTCGAAATGTAGAAGTTCCCAAGCATGAAGGAACTTTCTCTCAACTTCGTTATATTTCATACTCCTAGCTTTGATTCGTTGCATATGTCTTATATGTGGTCACAGAACGTGAATCCTACTTATATGATACCGCTTCGTCCAATTTACTGGAACTGAGATATATATACTCGCTAGGTTTTTTACCGTCATCATTTAATGCTTTCAGTTTCTCTCGCACTAGGTTGTTGATAGAGATATTGCTTTCTTATGTTCTAACTTATTGCTCCGACGTTGTGCTGCATTCTATTTGTCTCACTGTAAGCACTCAAAATCCTTCATGTACTTGTAAAAAACTCTTGCATTCTTCTTGTAATGCTCGTAAAAAACTGGTGCATCCGGCAACGTGAATTCCAGAGGTTAGTAATTTATAGAGCCAAAACTTTTACTATTTTTTATTTTGAAATATGTTGTCTGAAGCTGGTTGTTGCTGGCTTCAATCGCTTTTATAGCTGATGATAGAAATATATATAGGGAGAAGGAAATAACCGGTCGAGAGGCTAACAAAGTGACAAATTTATGCTGCTTTTAGTTTGGTGCTATGATAAGCGTTACCGAAGTAGAATGAAAGACCGAAGTTAGCGCAAAACATTCATGCCATCAATGGTCATAGATTGTCCCTAACTTGGAATGGGGAAGGATGCGTTTGCACTGGTAAACGGTATGGTAACACGCGAAAGAATCAAAAGAGATTGCGATCAAAAAAGACCAATTGGTGTATGAGCTTAGAGTATCAGCCAAGAATGCGGTTTCAAAAAGAAAGAGAGGGAGTTATATCATTATTGTTATTTATCATTATTATCATTGTTTTGTACACCTACACAACAATCCATAGGTCATCGAAAAGCTGTCAATGAAGTCCTCAGAAGTTTCCATTCAGTGGGAACTTCTTACGGACAGATTTGCGAAACTTCAGGAAGATTTTGGGGGAGCTTCTTGGGTAATCCACAGAAAGTTTTCGCAAAGGTTGGAAGGTTTTCGTGAATTGTTTAAGTTAAAACCGAGTAAGCTTGATGATCAGTACAATAAGCTGACCTTTGCCGGGCCACTTAGATTAGGCTGGTGCAAAAATGATGGCCGCTTTGCGAATTCACACTTTGACGTGCTATAACATTTTGAAAGATCCACATTTCGAATGAAATAATGATCATCGGAAGCAGAAAATCTTCTGCAATACAGCGCACATTTACTTATACTCATATCACGAACGGGCAGAAAAATATGGATTGAAAAACGAAGAAAGGTTCTTCTCCTAGAACCTTGTTTTTGACAATCTTTCTTCAAGGTTTGTTAGTGTGAATGACAAGTAGCCTATCTTGTAGCCGCAAGCCAGTAGTAGAAAACACAATAAAAAGAGTTTGAACAAAAGGTTTGCGAGAAAGAAAAAGTTGAAATTTTAAATTTCTCACTTCTACATTTTTCAGTGTGCCTCAAATGCCGAATACAGTATTTTCTGATTTTCTAGGTACTGAACAGCTGGATGTTTTTCAACCCTACGCTTACAGAATTGAGCAAAGCTTCGGCGATCAACTTCTTCAGAAGAAAATTATAGGTCATAAAATGATCGCGACAGTTACCCATAATTAGGCGCCGATATCTCAGTATAACTTCAAAGAATGCAGTTAAGTATGCATAATGTAGACCATTTCTGTTACATACAATAACTGAATTTTCGAAGAGGTGCCATTGGTACGCGCTTGAATTCTGGCCGGAAAAAAGGATGCAATGAAGTTCTAAATTTGGATTCGCTTATTTAAGCTCAGTAACTTTATAACAGATGAGCATGGAAGCCCCTTCCAAACACAATTAGATAGAGCATAAAACGGCTTTTCGGTGGTACACTACAACTATTTTGAAGAAGAATTGATGAAAAAAGTTGCCTTGAAAAAAGGCTTGGAAGATCGGCCATTATTTTTGCACCAACCTAATACATACGAGTCTAGCAAAGAAATTCGCTCAAAATCGGGTGATTCATTACCTTGAATTCCGATAGCTGCAAAATGGCGTCGTCGTAGAATGCGTGTATCTCTATCAGGAGAGAGATGCCGGCGATGACACACAGCAGCATGGTGGCGGATGTACCAACCAGAGCCACGGAGGTTGCCGCTATATCCATTCTGTAATCAATGTAGTTAAACAAAGATCAGTATTTGTGGGAATATGCTACTGCGTTCATACTGATCCCGAAATCCGGGAACAGTTTCCAGCACAGCGCTCAACTCGAGCGCTGTGCTAGAACTGTTCCCGGACTTGGGATCAGTATAAACGCAGCCTAAGGAAATCATTGATCGTAGTGTAGGCCGTGCGCGCTGTGCTGGAGAGCAACGCTGTTACGTTCACTGAAGATATTTTATGACTGGAAGGGGCGCAGAGGAAACAAGCGGCGAGAGTGCATGAGGAAAGAGGAATGACGCGCAGTACACACCCTGCCTCTCTCTGCACCCTGCGCACCCTCCTCCTCCTGCGCAGACGGCCTGTAAAAGCTTTGTATGATTATGGTGCATATAAATGTCGTTTGCAGTATCGTTTGTTTCACTAAATAAAAAAAGATTTGTGCACACAAGTGTGAACTGTTTTCAAAGTTCAAACAGACGAGAAAAGAATACTGACTTCTTGTACTGAAAGTTTCAAATTTTACATCTTTGTAAAAATATCGTGAACATTGAGGAAGCACAGTTTAACTTTAACTTATACTTCTACTTTATACTTACAAGGAGAGGATACTTAGTCGAAAGCACCAATCCGGATGGGACATACATCGTCTTAAAGCGCTTGAAGTGCTGATTTAAATCTGCAATATCTAGCTGCGGAGCGATTTTGTAGAAGGAGTTATGAGGGTTGTTTCCCTCTGGGGTTGAGGCGCCCTCCACCAGGTCTCCCTCCACCTATGAGCACTCTAGAGGAGTACCAACTGGTGGCAACTGACCTGGTGGTAAGTGACGTGCTTGATAAAAAGAGTGTCAATGTTTTAACCCCTTGGCATGCAACTTATCGCAATTTTTGCCAAATTGAGCTTCTAAATGTCTTCAGAGCTCTAAAGCCTGAAATTTCTGATGATATTGATGCTAATCGAAGTTAGAATTGTTAAAAAAACCAAAGTAATACGAATATTATAATCCTTATTGTATTCTTCATTCAACTTACTTACCATTAGGCCAGTTGCCACCAGCTGATACTCCTCTGCAGTGCTCATAGATAAGGGGGGGGGACCGCTGGAAGGCGCCTCAACCCCAGAGGGGAGCACCCCTCATAACTCCTTCTACAAAACCGCTCCGCAGCTAAAAATTACAGATTAATTACATTACAGATTAGATTAATTATTTAATCAGCATTTCAAGCGCTTTAAGACGAGTCCCATCCGAACTGGTGCTTTCGACTAACAAGGGAAGTTCACTTAATCGAAGTGGCGATTCGGAAGGAGATCTATACCAGTAGATAGAGCTTAGAAAGCTGATCTCAGACATACCTTCTATATCTGCGATGCGTTGTTCTGAAAAAAGTTATGAGCTTTTTTAAAGCCAAATTTTCGTGCATTTTGAGTCGCAAAATCATGATAATCGTGACACGAAAGTGTGCAAGCTTAAGCAAACCACCTAGTAAGCTTTGTAGGTCTAATTCGAGTTCATCCGAATGTTTTCGAGTGTTTTCTGACCATGTTCTTTGTTCACAGGCCGTCATTTCCTACCTATATCGCACTTTCACTTTTACAAAAAAGCCAATCTTCACCTATAGGTTCTATAGAAGAACGCGTCGCAGATATTGAAGATATATTTAAAAACGTCGTTTTACGTTCTATCCACTGGTCGCTTCCAAAAAATTTCCGACGCGACGAGTTTTTATAAATGGAGGTTATGGAGCTTTTTTTGTATACATAATGGAAGTGTGATCTAGGAATGAAATGACGACCTGTGGAAGAACAACATGGTCGAAAAACACTCGAAAGCGTTCGGATGAACTCAAAATAGACCTAAAATGCTTATTAAGTGGTTTGCTTAAGCCTTGCACACTTTGGTGTAGCGATTATCATGATTTTGCGACTCAAAATGCATGAAAATTTGGCTTTAGAAAAGCTCATAACTTTCTTCAGAACGACGCATCGCAGATATAGAAGGTATATCTGAGATCAACTTTTTGAGCGCTATCCACTGGTATAGATCTCCTTCCGAATCGTCACTTCGAATAAGTGAACTTCCCTTGTAAGTATCCTCTCCTTGTTAGATACTTTCAGTTATCCACAGCCATTTCTAAAAAGTTTTTATGAAATACGTGCTATGAGAACTGTTTATTTGCTTACTTTGTAAGGAGAAAGATTAACACGTTTTGATTCAAAATGTCAGCTCACTTTTCCATTTCATGCAGATCTATAAGTTAACCTCAGAACAAGTGGTTTTATTATTATTGCAAAAAGTGCGGCACTCCAATTCGCAGAGGCTCGCACTGGCTCGGTTATCTAAATGTTAGGGTGTCTCATGATTTTTTCATTTGTCTCTCATTTTTTCGTTTCTACCCTAGACATCAGCATGTTTCGAGAACTGGGGCACCTACAAAGGGTACATATATATGATCGTACTTCTGTATTTATGAGATATATGATCACGTGTATAGGAGGAGCTCAGGACTTCTAGGGGCGGAGTTTGCCACTTTAGTGCATTCATTTTTTTTTATTTTCAGCCATAGAAAAATTACGAAGTGTAAAATTTGTTGGACGAGTTAAGCATATGCTGGGATAAATGGGGAATTTTCAAGGTTTATTGGGACCAATATATGTTTTCTTACGGTAAAGTTCGCTCTTGACTGCTATCATATTTCAGCACAAAACTTCACGCGGATACGAATTGGACAGACTATTGATAGCCAACTTGCAGAACTTGCTTTGCTCTGTCGAATGATTACTTAAGCCGCATCAGTTGATGGAAAGATACAAAAAGACGACGGTTGTAAAAAAAACGGAAAAATTATGAAACACCTTAAAGGCAGTGGATCGGCAAAATTTGACAACCCAGGATCTTAACGCAGTAGGTTCCTTGTCGTCCAAGTATGAAAACAATGCAATCGCGGTTGCACAGCTTGCCTTCCCTGTCGAGAAAATCGCTCTCAAATTTACACGCGCAAGCCAGTCTTACACGCACCCGGACGAGTTGGCAACTTCCTTCTCATCATTAGAGGCTGCCCGCAGCAATACTGTAATCATTGGGTCCCGCAACGATTCAGTGTCATCAGCCTTGCTCCACTCGTCCAATTTTGAAGGGAAGAGGGTTGAAAAACGCTCATTTTCATCGTTTTCGAGCTCTCTAAAGTGGATTTTCGTGATCAGAGTATTAAATAACCCCAGGTAAGCGGAAATTTGACTAGGTTGAGATTTGCAGAGCCAGTGCCTTTAATACCTTCCTCGTGCCCGCATAACGACTTTGAGTTTCGCTGCGTAACGCTTGATCATCGCGAATGAGTTATAACACGCATACACATACACATACACACATACGCATACACATACAAATATACACATACACATACACATACACATACACATACACATACACATACACATACACATATACATAGACACCAGCGGCGTACCGAGGGAGGCCCTCCCCCCCCCCCCCCGAGAACGGGTCGCGAAATTTTTGGAATAAACTTATATGGGTTATAAAATTGTGCAAGCGACTTGTGTGCACTTACGCCATTGATACATACATATACATATACACATACACATACACATACACTACACACACATATACATATATACACATATACATATACACATACACATATGCACATACACATACAAATACACATATACACATACACACACACACAAAATTACGTAAATATCCTTAGCCCGTTATTGACTGTTTGTGACTGCCGAAAATATGAACAAATATGATTACAAGCAATATGAGTGGTCCTCTCAACTTGTTTTTGAACTCTTCTTGTTTTATAAAGCCTTCATATTTACCATTTTTGTATAGAGTAGTTTTCCTTTGAAATTTTGTTCTCTCCAAACCTCGCCGTTAACAGATTACTACTTGCCTCCGCTTTCTCTCAAAATGCATAAACATTGTTTGATCTGAGTTTTTAGAAGATAGGCAGTTATTAATTGACTTTTTTGGAACCAGATTTACTGTCTTTAGAAAAAGAGCGATTAATATTATGACGATATAGTGGTAGAAGGGAAGCACAACGGGTGAAAAGACGTTTGTGATTGTTTTTGATGAAATTTTGTCATTGAGTTTGTAGAAGCAAAAGCGAACGTAGCCACGCAATCAACTTAACTAATCAATGATACGAACACTAGGGAAATGTAATTGGTAAAAATCCTTGTCCTAACTCAAAAACGGAAGATCGCGCTAATTGCCTTTGGTGGTAAAAGACTATGTGAGTAATCTAATCGGTAATAAGATATTGCTATAGTTCGTGACATCTTATAGCAAATTTCCGGCAAGCTCTTTTTTTCCCATTCAGTTTTCTCCATTAGTGTAGGGTTTGTGAGCCAAACAAATTTTGCACCTTTGCAATTCCCCATAAAAAAATGCGTAAGCCAAAAACTTTTGAAATAATCTATACTTTTTCGTTATTTTGATCTATTTCTTCGGAAAAGGTGTATTGCTCCTTCTTCCATATTCAATCTCAACTTGTGTGGGTGTTCAACCTCTGCCAGTCGCCTACTTGTAAAAATGAATTCATCTCCTTTCTCTGATCCAGTCCATTCCCACAATGCGATGCACAATTGTGCATCAAAGCTCTGTGTGTGTTGCGCGTTGTACGTGTTGTGTGTGGGTGTTGTGTGTTGTGTGTGTTGTGTGCTATGTGTGTGTTACGAAATTCGTTGAAAGTGTTACAGCCAACTCCTAGGCTCAAATTTTGCACAGCGCATGCATGAAAGCCTAATGCAGAAGTACGAACAGGTTCGTCAAGTGGATCCCTTAGAAATTGCGCGTAAAACGAATAAACTTGGCTTCTGGTCCACAAGATTACTTCGTACTCCCATTTTTGCAGAGTTGCCAAGTAAATGTGCACGCCATCGACTCACATGCAAAAAAGTGATCAAAAGTCCACTACTTAAAAACGGCGCCAAAAAGAATTGACTGCGTAAATGGTCAATTTGCCAAGGGT